TCCAACAATATGAATTTTAGTTGCCAAACAATTTGGTGAGCGATATACAAAATATTTTTGCCAGTTTTTGGCGACGAATGTAAAGGTATTTTATTAATTAATACTTTTGTAAAATAAATTAAGTTTTAAGCTTGGCAAACAGAATTATTTGATGTGTGGGCCCTTTTTATGTTTTTAACATGCGAATACCGTTTTTATAAATTAATTTTACAGAAATTACAGTCACAAAATAGTAAATTTTTAATAATTTTTATGTTTTTAATCCACGGATTTTATTTATCTAACATTTTATTTAGCAAGTCTGTGGTTTTGAGAGTATTTAACGGCTGAACGGATTTTAATGAAATTTGTTTAGGGCTTGGAACGGGACTTTTTTTACTTTGTACTTGAAGTAAAACTTTTAACAGGGTAAACAAAACTTGGTGTCACAAAAGATGTAACTAAAACGACTCGCACATGCCTGCGTTGTATTAGAATATTTGAACGAATTATTTGTATATGTAGTTTTATTTTATTTATTTTTAACATCCTTAGGTTTTAAAAACATACTCTCTAAAAGTGAAACAGTGAAATTTTCACTATTTCCGTCAGTGAGTTATTATTCACTGTAAAATTAGTGTTTTTCAATATAAATTAGTGAAATTTTAACTTCTCCAAATTAGTGTTTTTTATTATCACTACTTTTCCGGAACTCTCGACATAAAATAGTGAAATTTTAACTTTTTTGAACTAAACCTATTTCACTAATTTGTACAGTGTAATTTCCACTAAATAAATTAGTACAAAGAAATCGCTACATGAAAAAGTAAGTATTCACTAATTGCTAGTGGTATACTTATCACTGAGGCAAATAGTTAATATGCACTGTCAATCAGTGAAAATCCACTGTTTCATTTTTAGAGAGTAGCTTTTATTAACCCACTCACTTAAAATGATTTAGTTAAAAATAACTTAATAGTCATAAGTCATAGTGAAAAAGCAGTCACTAATAATAATTGAATTACAGTAGTGCTGCCGTGCTAAGCTAAACCACCGTATCTGCAATATTAAATAAAATATAATTTTCATTGTTAAAAACAATAAAAACTATCTTTTGTCCTTTATTATCTAATATTGCAGATACGGGGGTTTAGCTTAGCACGGCAGAGTGTATGATAGTAGAGTATTGAGAGCAGCAGCAGATACTCTACTCATACACTAAAACTAATAGAAAAAAAAAACATTAATATTTTTAAAATCTTTTTATTAGACATACTTAAAATCAGGTCTAAAATCCTAGGCACAAAAATTGTCCACTTAAATAGGGGGAATATTAATAGCTATTCACGGAGTTTAAGTGGTACACGCAGTACCCAATTTTGGTTGATTGTATTGCCATGTTGCCAATTTTTATTTGATTGCATTGAAATTTTATCACTATAAAGAAGATAAATAGAGCTACAAATAGGGTAAATTTTATTTAAATCGGGAAAAAATTGATCATGCTGTATCACTTTGAATTTTAAAAATTTCCGAATTTTGGCTAAAAAATCGATTTTCTTTCGATGAAAGCAAGATTTTTAAAGAGAACACCATTATCAATGAATATGGTATTTTTTGTTAAGTTTAATAGCAACATTACCAACTATTCTTGCTTAAAATAGAAGTTTAAAAAAATATATTTAAGCATTTGAATGTGCGCATATAAAAAAAATGGTTTTTTGTTACATCGCAAAAACAAGAGCTGATTGAGCAAAATGATGGTCATTTTTTGATTCGGCGTACTCAAATTACCCTAAAAAATTTGTTGTCTACCCTGCACCAAAATGGCTGTCGGCCAGTGTTATTTGTGTTGCTGTTTTGAGCTAAACTTTTTGCATCTTTATTTGTTTTTATGGGTCATTTAACCATGGAGCTTAGGTATAAGCATTTAATTCAAATAATACTTTGTTGTTGGCCGCAAACGATTAAAGAAATTAGTTACTTTTAACTCTCAGAAATAGTCAAACATGGTGACTTAAATTAGTCAAACTTTAACTATTTACGTAGTAAAGAATAACTATTTAAAAGTGAAAACGACTATTTTATTAGTAAAAAATGCTGGTACTAATTTAAATAGTAGAATTTTGACCATTTCATTTTTATAGAGCAGAAAAATGTAAAACTAAAATATATAAAAACAGGGTTGATTAACGTAAAAGCAACAAGGTTTTTGCGAAGAAAAATGTCGTCGAAAAGAGAAGATAAACGAGGCTATGAAAACGTCAATGCAGCTGCAAAAGCGTCGATATAAATTGTACACTGATAAAGATGAACAAGGTGTACCGGTTTATTAAATATAGTAAGATAAATGATTTTCGAAATTTCGTAACGATCAACCGCAGCTTTGCTTTAATATTTGATATTTGATCGGTGATGATCGAAATGTGTTGTTGTTCTTTGATGAATTTGAATACTAATTGTTTAAATACCGTATAACTTTAATCCTTGTTAGTAGGTTTAAACTTATATTAACCCTAGATAGCCAACCTATGTAAAATTTACGTAAAGTTTTTTTTTAATCTGAAATAATTTACCTAATATTGGCATCCTCGTTTCGCCGCTCAAGCAGTGCTTTCCCTTCCATCACTACTTTTGGCAGCCGACGTGTTTTTGATGTGGCAGGTGTGGGTTGTCAGTGACTGAATATAGAGTGATAGTCCACGCGTAAATTTTACGTATAGGTGGCAAATTCGTATGGTTGTTATACGTATATTTCACGTATATTATACGTATATTTTACGTAATCTTGGCAATAAAGTAAGTCGTATGGTTTGAAACAATTTTTGCACATATTTGTAATATATACGGTAAAATTTACGTATTGTTGGCATCAAAGTATAAATTTTGAACGTTGGCTATCTAGGGTTAAATATGCAATGAGTTTAACTCGGTGTGTATCAAGTAAATAAACAGCCGAAATAATGTAATCTTTTGTTTCGGTACACAAACGGGTATCGAGAGGCAGCCTGTTTCGGTCTAAATATAACTCATCAGTACCATAAAATTATTTTTTTTTTAATTTAAATTTTATTGTGCTCATATTTTTTTAAGATACCTTTATTTACTATCTAAAGTTTGACGAAGGTGTTTTTAGGGAAAATGATTGACTTTTCCTCTGTATGGGTGGTGACACATTAATAAATTGTCACTAAATATTTAAAGACACTATTTATTTAAAGAGTAATATCGCTGACCAGAGAGATCACCAGATCTGTCTCCCATTGTTTTTTTGGGTTATATATAATCTAGCGTAAAGGGCTAATAATTTAAATGCATTAGGGATTAAAATTCTTAATACATTTCAAAATATTACCCCTTTAATGCAAAACAATGTTTTTATTATGACTGGTTGGGTTATTGCCTGGCAGTAGAGGGCTCTGAAAAACTAAATAAAATAATTTAATTTTGAAATTAAATGTTTTAGTTTATAATTTTTGAAATTATTTTTATTTTATGTTTTATATCATTTGCCTATTTTGGTTTTTAAGTGTTGTTTTTAATTACTAGATTATATTTAAATACCAAATACACTAATATTCACTTTGCGTATTATCTTTCGAACAATGTTGTTAATCCCCCTTAGAAATCAGAATTTTATCGGCATATGTAGCAAGAAAATATAAAAGACCTTTGTATATACCGTGTGTCCCCAGATAGGTAAAATGTCCCTTGAAAAAGGTAAATCATTCTCAATTTATATATTAAATGTTTTGGATTTAGTCCTGCTGGATTAAAGTTTCAGTTTAAAAAAGTTAAGGATAAAAAACTATTTTTCTTTAGAGTAAAGTGCCTTGTATGTTGCCGTGATGAGCAAAAGTTATTGGAAACATTTGTTTAAAATCATTATCTAGGCCCTTATAACAAATTTGAAAATCCTCGACCAACTGATTTTTAATTTATTTTGTCATTATTATGAACTATGTACTATACGTACTATAAAACAGTATTAATAATAAAAAGTTAAAATTTATATAATAAAATAATATTTATCTACTCATATTGCATAATATTGTTTTTTTGTGAATAATGACAAACATTATAAATTCTCTGCCTAACAACGTGAATAATGAACTCATTATTCACGCTTTCAATATTCACTGTGATTTGAACCAATCGGGTTTTAAATTGGGAGAAGGCGACTATAATTACATTTAAAATTGGTAAAAGTAGGGATAACCATTTAACAGTTGTCATATTTTATTTAATTACTTTTAAAAATCTACTTATTGGAGTAGATAAACTATAGTATTACTCTCGAAATTATGCGCAATATCTACTCGAATGATTTAGGTCTCTCGCCTAGCGTCTCGAGACGCAAACCTCATCTTCGTGAATAATAGCATGCATTGTTACCAAATTATCTTTTGGATAACATAACGTATACTTCTGAAGTTCATAATTATGAGACTAGGAACAGAAATGACTTTTATATAAAAACATGTAACACCTCTAGAAATTTCAACAGTTTATTTTTTAAGGGATAAAGTCTTTACAATAATTTACCAAGTGATATAAAATTATGTGAGAATTTAAAAATGTTTAAGAAAGTTCGTTAATACTAATTTTTAAGAATATTTTATTTATTTTGTGTATATTTAAAATTTGTATGAAAATGTAGCTATTGCTAAATAAATTTATATTATTATTATTAATTTGTAATACTATAACTGGTCATTATCTCTCGTATAATAATATATACTATTATATATCCCGGCGCATTCGCCATTATTGCACGTACATAGAATACATGTATGTCACACATTGAAATTAAAGTCAATAAATTTAAACAAAAACTTTTAGATTGGTTATGTTTTCCACATATTAAAATGTAAAATAAAAACTTTTGTTAAATCTAGGTTAGCAATATTTATGGCTTAAACTTATTTCCAGATATACTCTAGAACAGTTTTGTTACCTAATTCCTTTACATCCATACATAATGCAATATGTAGTAAATAACATTTACATATTTCCATTTCAGGACATGCAAGCGAAGCAGATTGTCCTGCGAAGAAAATGATTTTCCTGTTGGTCCAGATTCAGCAGTACTGCAGACTTGTCTAGCGCAATAAATTATTCAGTAAGTAGAATACAATATTTATATGTAGGTAAAATAAAATAAAAAGCAAAAACAGGTGGATGAATTTGTAATAATATAAAATAAATGGAATAACGTAATAAATATTTTATTAAATTTTAACTAGTTAATTTAGCGTATATTTTTTTAAATTTAAATTTAGAAATTTTCGATTACATTTATTTTACAAAGTTTTATATTCTAAAATGTGGTTTTAATTATTTTTGTTTTTAAAATAAAAAATTAAAAATTGTTTTTAACATTCTAAGATATGTTCTAAAACTTTTAAATTTACATAATTTTATGTTTAAATTTTAAAACAGCACTTTTAACATTTTAAATTGTTTTTTTCATTTACAAAATATGTTTCGAACTACATAAATACGTTTTGCCAGACTAAAGAAATATAACGTTAACGTTATTGTTATATTTAAATATATTTTTGACAAAACTTTTAACATTTTATCATTGGTTTGACTTTATTCTTTGCAATACTTTAAAAAGTCATATAAGTTATACAGGATGTCTCAGATTTTAATCGGGATAATTTAATAGACAATAGAACTCGCAAACATAAGAAGAAAAGTTTATTTGAACTTTGTTGTCTAGAAAGAGGGTGTAAAAGTTAATAAAAAAAAACTATAAGTACGCCACTGATTTTTATGACTTTGATAATAAAATATAATATTATTTTAATTATATTAAGCAATTAAAAACAGAATTTTTTTATCACCTGAACTTTTCTCTGCTTAATTTTTAAAAAAAAAATTAAATTTGTTTATCTGCTTTTAACCAAATTTTTTCTAGGGGCGAACAAAAAACCAATTTTATTTTTTTCTTGAAAATTAAATAAAGTAAAGAAAAAATGCAGTTCTGCAGTGTCTTCTAAGACACGATAGGCGCTATGAAAAAATGTTGAATTTTTTTTAAGTTGTAGTAAAGTCTACTTAAAAGACATTTACAAAGCACTTATGCCGTTAAAAGTGCCATATAAATTTATTACATTTTATACATTATTTAAAATATGTTTTAACATGTCCTTACATTTTTAAATATGTAAAATATGTTTTCATAATCCAAAATGTGTTAAATTTTTTATGATTGTTTAATATGATTATGATATTTTTATAATTTTTTATGTTCTGTATATACTTATTTTCATTTAATATTTTTAGTTATGGCATTTAAAAGGTATTATTATTAAGTATAATATATGGAATAATCCAGTATTAAAAGTTTGTAGTTGCGCAACTCTGGACATCATTAAATCCTGCTTGTTAAATAGCAAACAATGTTAAACTAAGCAAAAACCATATTTGCCAACATTTTCTGCGCGTCTATGTTCCTTGTTTGATGGTATTTACTCAGAGCATTGACAAACAGCAAGAAAGTTGCGCGTTTGGCTGCGAGTAATTAATGAGCAATTTATGCTAATTACTGAAACGTAGTAGTGCAAACCAAGAGTGAATTTTCAGTAGCACAACATGTAAATAACGAACCAAATAATATTTCTTATCTGGAATAAACGTCTTTATCTTTATTATTGTTAACACTCTTAACAAAGTGGTTAATTCGGGTTAAGTTTTTTTTACCTCCTTGTCTGTAAAAAACCCGTTTGGATATGTAAAAAAATATTACTTTCTCCTTATAATTATTATTGTATAATTGTTTTTTGTTCGTTTAACAAATAAAATTTTTCTTTGAAGATAAAGTTTTGTATGCCATGCGGCTGAGAAGTGTCTTTTTGTGATGTAAATATTTGGAATGTAATAGATGAGAAGAGATAATGAAAAGAAAGTTTCATTATAATAAATATAAGAAGGGTTAAGTGTAGCGAGTTTGATTATGTAATTTAAAACATGTATATATTAATGCCTAGACAAGCTATAAGCTTATTGGAATGTATATATATGTAATAATAATAATAATAATAATATTAATAATAATAATAATAATAATAATAATAATAATAATAATAATAATAATATAAAAAAAATATTATTTTAGGAAGTTCTTTCGCGTGGTAATTTTTTTTAAAACCTTTTAATTACAGATTTAAAAACTAAAATTACCATATTGGTTATACAAGTACAATAGGATAGTTCCTAATTAGGGAGTTTTGACAAGTTGTGTTCCAGGTAATGTAATGGCTTAAAATTTTATGTTTAAAAATATAATTATGATAAAATTTTAATTCCTAACAATAAAATAAAGCGGTGCTACACAGCATGGTTTTAATAAATAGGGCATTAATCGCCAAACAAAAAGCAAAAAAATCAAAGCTACAGAATGCGTGGTTTTAAGTCCAACTTGTAGCGTGTATACACAGTTTTGAAATAAAAAAATGGGGTCAGCGCTTAAACAGCATCAGATAAATTTTATTTTTGTTTTAACGGAAAGTTATTAAAAATGTAAGAAACCATGTGTGGCAACCCTTAATAATACTATTAATTAGTTAAAATTTATCACAATTATTCATACATAGGTACATACATTATTTATACATAGAGCTCAACCTGTCAAAAACACTTGGATTGACCACCGTTTTATACATAAATCATTTTATAGCTAGAGATAAAATTAATTACAATTTTAAATATTTAAAGCATTTATTTAAAATATTATTTAAATTAAATGTCAATAAATAACATTTAATTATTACAACATGTGTACCTAGATTTCAAACAATCTATTAAATGAAATGTGTATTATTTGTTATAATGAATTAATTTTACATTTAAATAACGATAAAAAATAAAAATTAATTTTAAATGTTTGATTTTTTCTTAAAAATATCTTTTTTTACTCCAACCTCCAACAAACGTCCATTATCGTACAAGCTATATGGCTTTATGGCGCTTTAGTTACAGGCTGAACTTAGCTTTAAGTTAGTTGACATTTGTCAAATGTCAAACAATCGTTAAAATATTGCCCTTTCCGTGAAATAATACTATATGTGAAAATTATTGTATTATCTTAATACAAAAATTCAAAAGTATTAATTATAATTATTTTCTTAACGCCTATATAAAAAGTTGGTACTGACTTCTGATTTCGCCGGCAGCATAGTCTTATATAAGACTGCGGTAAATCAGATTTAACGGATGCAGTGCCCATAAAACATTCCCTTTACTTTCACTTTAAAAAACTGCTTCTATATCGGATTTAAACAGTTGTTAGTCCATTTTCAAAGGATAAATTTCGATTTACACAGACATTTGTAGAGATTTCCATTCTTACGGTTTCTTTATTTTTTGTATAGATGTCGCTCAATACAAATATTTAATTTAAATCATATTTAGATAATAATAAGTACTTTTCGTAAAAAAAATATTGTATGTAATATAAACTTTTCTAGACACTTAATAAAACTAATTTAAATTTGTAATGTGCGTTTATCAAACAATACATACACAGAAAAAAAGGTTTAGTTAGCCCAACAATTATTTGTTTCAGTTAACTAAATCTGTTGTTTCAATAGAGCCAACCAAACATTTAGTTATTTTAACAACGGCATTTAGTTATATTTTACAACTATATATTTGGTTAAAACAAACATTTATATACCTACTTAAAGTGAACTTTACCTACCAGTCCAATGTACCAAATACAATTGGTTGAATTGATTCAATATAAATTGTTACTACTTTTATTTTGTTTGTGGAGTTGTGTATTGGAAAAATCTGCTTTCTACTCTCTAAAAATTAATAAGTCAAAAATTACTTATTTAATAGTTCGGTACCTTAGAATGACAAGGTTTTAAGTGCAGTTGCAATGTTAAGTGAAAATGCCTTATCTGCAATATGCTGCTTTTTCAATTGTACCATGGTATCCCAAAATTTAACTGCTAATTATTATGAAAAATTGTCCCCTGAATCCGAAAATACCGTCAAAAATTATGAAAATGAAGCAGTTTTTGAGATATAGTCAATTCCATCTTAAATGGGAAATTGACTATATCTCAAAAACTGTTATACTTTTTTAACTTTTGACAAAATTTTCGGATTCAGGGGACAATTTTACATAAGAATTGGCTGTTAAATTTTGGGATACCATGGTATTCCATGGTTAACCATGGTACAAGTGAAAAAGCAGCCACTTATAACTATTAAGTTAGTCATTTTTGACTAATTTATTTTTAGAGAGTAGGTACACCTATTCCGAAACCTTTAATTCGAGTACATAAGTATTTAGTTTTTGGTTAAAATTAAATTAAATTAAATTTTAAAATTAAATTAAATATTTGTTACAGGTATGAACCTCATAAATATGGACGCGGAAAACCGCGTCGTATTGAATGTGGGCGGCATCAGGCACGAGACTTACAAAGCCACGCTGAAAAAAATCCCCGCCACACGGCTGTCAAGGCTCACCGAGGCACTAGCCAACTACGATCCCATTTTGAACGAGTACTTCTTCGACAGGCATCCCGGAGTGTTTGCGCAAGTTTTAAATTACTACAGGTTGGTTTTATTGTAGGTAGTCAATTGATTGTAAAAACGAGACGTAAAATTACGTTAAAGTATAATTTTATAATTTAAATCTTACTATTAATAAATGAACAAAAATTAACCTTAAAATAAAAAACTACTAGTACAACCATGATTTAAATAGTGATGTTTTGCAAATTATGTTATGTTTGTGATACCCTGAGTACAATTTTTGGTATAATGAGTCATTATTAATGATCTATTTTTAATACTCAATACTAAAGTCTTTAAGTAATCTACACTTTAAAATTATAATAATAGTTTTGTGAGATACAATACCAAATACTTATTTTTGGATTTTGACCCCTGCGAATTTCTTTCAAATTTTGTGGAGGTATTTTTTACTTAAAAATAATGACTCACTGAAGATTTAAGCTCCTAAAATTAAGTAATGTTTTTCAAGTTTTGACAATATTTTTTGGATAAAAACATTATACATAAATATATACAAACAGTACTGTTTTCCTGTAAAAAAAATCTTTTTAATGAAAATATTCATTCTTTTTTTTAAGTAACGAAAAAACCTCTAAAATTTAATTAAAGTGAAAAAATTTTGTACACAAAATATAATTTTTACGAGGGAGTTATTTTTTGGTTTAGTATACAATTGTAATTGTAACTGAATTTTTTTCTTATAATTAAGGTTATGTATCTGTCAACTTTACTTTTTTCTAAAAATATTTATAATTTTTAGTTTATTACATTATTTTTAGAAGATAGACTGTGTTTATTATAATCTTATATTATAATATTAACGTTAAATTGAAAGATGCATAATAATTATTTGAACAATATCACAATTATTTTTAAACAAAAAAATGACCCATAGTGAAAATGACATATTTTGTGTTAAACATTTTTAGCTTTAAAAATATTTTTCACTTTAATTGCATTTTTAAGAGTGTTTCGTTACATATAATATAGAATGAATATTTTCATTAAAAAGCTAAGATTTTTTAACACTGTTTGCATTTTTATAAATAAAGTTTCTACTAACGAGAAAGTTTTAAAAAATTATTAAAAATTATTAAAATTTTATTAAAATTTTGATGTAACAAACGCAGGGGTTCCACCAAAAAAATATTTGGTGGAATGATCCATATACAGGGTGCATCTAGTATCCTTTTATGTGTCCTTTTATGTGTACTTCTATAAGGGTATTTTTTAAAGAGCTCAAAGGTCTGTTCAATTAGAGAATTAAAATTAAAAATACATATAAATTAAAAAAAAAAAAATTATCAGTTCAATTAGAGAATTAAAATTAAAAATTAAAATTAAATACCTATAGTCCATTCCATTTAAGAATAAAGGAGATGTCGCTGCAAAACGAGACAGGTTTACACAGGAGTACGCGGCAAATTTAAATATAATGGCGGTTGTCTTTGATAGAATATTAATATGTTACAACAAATATATTGCATATATGCACAAATCATAGCAACCGTGAATGTCCCATACCATGAAAAAATAATTTACTATAATAATTAAGACCTTTAGACATGTATTATATTATTTACAGAAAATAAGAAGAAATAAACAATAATTTGAGCAACATAACCTCAATAATTTAAATGTCAGTTCATTTTTTTGATGTGGAAAATAGTACATATTTTAATGTTTTAATAAATTTTTATGATTTTATAATATAAAAATTTAGTAATTAATAAGTAGACCGAGTTTTATTAAAAATGTAAGATAAATTAAATGGTAAATGAACGGAAAAAATTAATTTTTTCTTTGAGTGTAAGCATGCATCCATGGATTTGAAAAGTGCATTTTTTAATATAAAGTATACATATCGTCACCCTAATATAACAAGGTTGTATGTTTAAAAAAACGAAAAATTTAAGTCTATGTTTCTACAGGATTATACGTGGCCTACGCTTCACATGCCACTTAAAAATAATTCTATAGAATGTATATTCTATGTATACATATATATAGAGTTATTTTCAAGTTGTATGTCAAGGGTGGATTACATAAAATCTTGTAGAAGCACAAACTCAAATTTTTCGGGTTTTTAACATACAACCTTGTTATATTAGGGTGACGATATGTCCTATATGTACCTACCTATATGAAATTTGTTTATTTTTTCTAAAATAACAAACAGCGAACCATCTTTAATGGTTTATCATAGATAACAAATGGTTTATTACGGTTCGTTATAAGCGATTGCTACTAACATTATTTGCTAAGGAATATTTAATGAAATTGATCGAATAAAATTAATTAATCTATTATTTATTCATCGATTTATATTTTAACATATAATAAAATTTGGGTGTAAGAAATTAACCGATATCAAAAAAATAAAATAGCTATTGTAAAAATTAGGATTTTTTTTACATTCATTCTGAACAACTTACATATGAAGACCCTACTTACCCAACTAAAAAAAGTTATTTAAAAAATTAAATCTAGTTTTTTTTTAAGTAAGGCTTAAATAAAATACAAATGCAATTAATGAAGGTTTTATTAAAAAACAATATTTTACAGAGACAAATCACGTCAAAATGGCCTCCCAATTTCCATGCTGCTGATGGATTTTTTTCAATTTTAACAGAATGATATGGGGCATTATCCATCACAACAACAATGTTCTTTTTTATTTTTGGTAAAACATTTTTTATCCAAGTCTCAAAAACAGTTCCATTAATATCCTCATGATAATTCTCTGTTGACTTTTACTCAAATACATTTACACACCTTGGGCTTTGTGTCCTGCATTGATCCAAATCTCATCCATGTAATATATTTTTTGATCCTGTAATCGATAACTCCTGATATCAATATATTTTCTTCTTCAAATTACTATTTTACTTTTTTTAACCAGTAAATGATTCCTACACCTTTTTTCATACTTGAAGTCAAGTTTTTTTTAAATTCTCCATAAATTTTTCCAAGAAATTGGTGGTAAGTTATCATCCTTTTCGGCCTAAAAAAATGAAAAACAGTTAGTTTATACACACGTTGTATGTTTTAATAATAAAAACTTATTTATTTAAAGCTAAACTCATTTTTATTATTTGACAGCACCTGGTATACCTACCCTCTATTTTATTTATTATTTACATTAAGGGAACATTTTTCGAATCAATTATTAAACATATTTCAATAACATAATTACTTACTCAATAAATTTTACTTAAATTTGGTATTTTATTAGGTATTTATAAAAAAGTTATGAACAACTTTTCTTGGGTGCTTCTTTTGTTCCTCACTTAATTTGTCATATTGACTTGCCCGCTTTCTTTTCTTTAATGGAGATGTAGCCCTTATGTTCTGTGATGTAGCCTTTCCGTCATGTTCCATTTGTTTGATGGTGAACCAAATGGTACTTTTTGAAATACCAGTTTCTTACACTGGCACTTTTTGATTTTCCTTCATCGATATGTTTTTTACCATATTAAAAAGTATTATTCTTTGACCTCGTCCTATATATTGGCCAGATTTGTTTTTTAGGACAGATTGTTGGTTTTCCACATTGTCCACATTGTTTATATTGTCCATATTATCAATATTGTCTCTCAAAAATATAAAAATATTTTTCTTTGGTTATGTTAAGCGATTTTAATGTAATTGACTTACCTGTTTTTCATTAAAAACTTATTAACAACGGTTAATACGTTAAATAAAGCCAAAAAATCACAGAACATGTAATAAATTAACAAAATATACACTTTGTATTATAACAGCTGATGCTACGTTGCCAATGTGCGATAAATCCAACCTAAAGTCTTTCTATATTTAAAATATTTTTGACAAATTGCCGACAAAAGCTAATATAATATAATTTAAATATTATAAAAACTCTTGCTGGTTTATTGTATAATATTATTATGTCAGTTTGTAAATTTGTTTTTAGAAGCCATGGCAACGCTGTATAAGAAAATATTCAGTGTATGAGAACTACGTTATATCAGAGAGAAAGAGAGGTTATATCAACATCCAACGTATTAAAAAGAGATGGGTTATAAATTTTCTCCTGTGTAAAAAAAGCCACAATTTTAAGCGTCGTGATTGGTCTATAATAAAACCTATTCAACTCAATGCTTTTTTCTTAAATGGAATGGACTATATATGTATAAATTTAAAAAAAAAATTATCAGTTCTCAAAATATTTGAAATGAACTAAAAATCTTTCAAAACCAAAAACTGTTATTGCTGGGAATTTTTTATTTTTTACATGTAAACATACATTTCTTTCTAATTTCTTCATATTTTGCGTTACCATCACCATCCTTTAGTTTTTATAATGGATGGAAGTAGTTTAATACATCGTTGAATTTCTTTTTTTTCTATCTAACCAAGAAAAAGTCCAATATGGCAGCCATAAAAAAAACAAACGATGGTGATGGTACAGTTGTATTCAATAAAAAAGCGTACAAGAATTAGAATGAGAGAAAACTGTCAAAATAATATTATTGCTTAAAACCGGCTTATCACTGACATAAGTCATTAAAATAATTATTATAGGTTATAAAGAGCATTGACGTCGTAGGTTAATTAAATAATATTACAAAAATTAGTACCTTTTAATAATGAAAAAAACAAACATTAAAAAAAATTTAATATTTAGTCATGCATCCCTGTTTTTCTATTACTTGAGCCAATCTATTTGGGATGAACTGAATTAAATTTAATACAATATTTGGATTAATATCTTCCCAGCAGTATAGTAGGTATAGTATAGTTGTATAGTTTCCCATAAATCCTCAGATATCTCAAAAAAGCAGCATCCTGTTCAGGGGTGGACATTTTGGGACGACCTGAACCAACTTTTTGGTTTAGTAAATCTTCCTGTTCCCAGCGTTGCTTAATTTTTAATATAGATTTTTTATTTCTATTATACCACAGTACGAATTGACCATTCTTCTTCGATTCTTGATACTATTTGAGCATTTTTAACTGACGAGGCATTTTTATTTTCTACTGTCAGTTATAGTGACTTAAGTCAGTGGAAAGCCGGTTTTACGCAATAATTTTGACAGTTTTCTCTCATTCTAATTCTTGTACGCTTTTTTAATGAATACAACTGTAACTCAAAATCTAGTGCAAAAAAAAACTTAATGGGTCAAAAAGTAGATAAATTTGTATGTTTACATGGTTAATTAAAGTTAATTTTTAATTTTCAGGAATTATGATTTTTTAGCGATTTTTGGTTTCGACAGGTTTTAATTTTTTTTTAAATTATTTTAGAAATGGTGTTTTTTACCCATTTTTAATGCCAGTTTAATAGACTTGTAATTACTCAACTTTTGTCTTATATAACCGACCTTAAAAAGATACCCATTCATAAAAAGTTTCTTGGTACACCCTGTATACACAATAACCAGTATATTGTACGACTAGTAGAAGAAAGAGAATATTTCTCGAGATTCAACCTCTTTTTTTCACACACAATTTTATTTGATATTTTATCTGACATCTAACAACTATCAGACAGATTTAACCTCAATGTTCTCCAATTTTATTTTAAGGCTAATAGCACTAGTGTTTTATTTTAATTGATAATAAAATCTGTTAAAAAACGCTGTAGAAAAAATCTTGAAAACAAGACGTTGCAAAATCGATGTATTTTTTATTGTAAAAGTATTTTCATAAGCAAATAAACATTGTTTTGCCGTAAACTTTCGACAAAAAAATTAAGACAGTTCTCTAGGATAATTCAGTGGACTTTTATGGTTTGTGGCTTTTGCAAAACACTTAATAATAAATCGTTTTAGCAATTCGTGAAGTAAGTTTTATACTTATTTCCTATCGAATTCATTGAACCAAGTGGATTACGAATTACTCGTGACATACGTGTGGTTTAAAATCCACAGACATTTCGACAGAAATAAAATCGACCATAAAATAAGTTCATTTTGTGTTTATTGTTTAATCAATTCAACTAAAAGCACCCGTCTGATAAGAAACACTTATGGGGGAGTGTTTTCATCTGAATTAAATTTTAAAACAAACATCTACCACATTTTAAGTTTACTAAATTTTGTTAGATTTACATTTAATTTTATAAAATGCCATTATTTTTAAAACAACTCTCTTAAAATGAAATAGTCAAAATTAGATTAATATTTAAATAAGTTATAGCATTGTTAACTAATTAAATAGTCATGTTTACTTTTAAATAGTTATTTTTTACTACTTAAATGGTTTAAGTTACCAACTGTTACTAAGAGTTAAAAGTAACCAATTTCTTAACTGGGTTTAAATTCTTGCGGATTCTAAAAAAAATGAACGGGCGGGAGAAGTTTTTTAGGACACACTTAATTTTTGAGAAAAACAATATTTCTCATAAAAACATAGCTTATAACTTGGCATTAAGGAATGTTATGTTTGAAAAATTATGACAATGAGGTGATGACCAAAATCAAGAATGTTGAAACCTTATACAAAAGTTGGCAACCACTTTTACATAAGTGGGCGATCCATAAAGTTACTTTGTGTCATGCCATGAACTCTTTTTAGATTTAAATCATTTTTGTTTTCTTAAAGAATGACTACTGCCTCGCCGAACTCTGTATGATGTCGTTAAAATTCAAGATATGGCTTGAACCATTTTTGCTTTTGTCGTGTTGCTTTTTATAGATGTTTCTAAATGGAAAACTGTGGGTTAAACCACTGTTGCAGAACATCGTTCAGATGGCATAACGATTTTGGTATAAAAAAGTATATTCTTATATAACAATAGCATATTGTGCGACTGGTTGGAAAAAGAGGTGATCCTCGAGTGTGGAGTTTTGCCAGGAATTTAAAGCCAATTTTATTTGACATTTTATCTAACCTCTGACAACCTTCAAACAGTTATCTTTACATTAAATATTTCTTGCGGGTGTTGAATAAAAAACTTTATCAACTCCTGCATGATATTGTTATTTTTTGTGAATAATGATAAACATTATAAATTCCCCGCTTAGCAACGAAAATAATGAACTAAATAATCACGTTGTTAGGCATCAGTGATTGGCCTATTTCAATATTCACTGTGATTTGAACCAATCGTGTTTTAAATTGGGAAAAGGCGACTATAATTACATTTAAAATTGGTAAAAAGTGAAGTAAACCATTTAAGATTTTATTAAATTATTTTTGAAAATTATTTAATTATAATTATAATTATCTACTTATCGTTAATTATAAAGTATAGTATCACACTCGAGATTATGCGGATTATTCACTCGAATGAATTAAGTCTCTTGTCTGGCGACACGAGACGCAAACCTCATCCTCGTGAATAATAGCCTGCATTATCTCTCGTTTAATAATATACTTGTTTTCCACTTTTGCTTTGGAATTTCTTAAAACTTTCTAAAGGCTTTTTAACCATATTATTTTTCTATTTGAAGAACTACAGTGTTGATTAAATCAAAGAAAAGTTGCGTAATTACAAGCCTATTAAAAATAAATTTAAAACCTGAAAGAAAGAGTAATTCTTAAAAAAAATTAAAAAAGATAAAAACCTGCAGTTATCGTTATGATGTAAAATTCTAATATGGCGTTCATAGAAAAAACAAAAGATGTTGGTGGTAACTCAAAATCTAGTAAACAATAAATCACAAAGTTGATGAAAACTTATATATATATGTATATTTACATGTGAAACTTACGTTTTATCAAAATTCGCAGAAAAAACGTAATCCTAACGATTTTTTGTTTTGACAGTTAGTTTTTTAGTTTTATTTAAATTATTTAAAAACGGAATTTTTTTGGGCCATGGTTAAGCATGAAATACCATGGTAACCCAAAATTCAACACCTAATTCTTATGTTAAGTAGAGCAGTTTTTGAGATATATTCAATTCCATGGATGTTAAATAGAAAATTGACTATATCTCAAAAACTGTTCTACTTTTTTAACTTTTAACATTTTCGGATTCAGGGGATAATTTTACATAAAAATTGGATGTTAAATTTTGGGATACCATGGTATTCCATGGTTAACCATGGTACAAGTGAAAAAGCAGACACTTATAAATATTAAATTAGTCATTTTTGACTAATTTATTTTTAGAGAGGATACTTGGTTCAATCTGCAGATAAACATGTTTATAAATTTTATAAAAATTAAGTTTGGTTATGAATGCCATATATATATATTTATATATAAGGCAGTTTGTATCATAATTATTCCATTTAATATATATATATATATATATATATATATATATATATATATATAAATACACGTTTTTTTGTCATATTGGGATTAATATAATAAACAAGTTGCACTTGAGTCCACATTGGTCCCAAGTGTAATTTTACAAAACTAGCGCTAACGCTGGATTCATATGGCAAGTAACGTTGATAAAATTTTTTATTAATTTTGTAGCCTATTACTTTAAAATCTTAACATCTAATTGTCTCTAATGTTTATTAGGATTATCTTTCTAATAGTAAACAGTTGTAGATAGTATTTATAATTTTAATAATTAAAGAAAAAACCTAAATAATTAAAAATAATTCATTTGATGAATATAACAATTGCACATCTATAAGAAAGCAAACGTTTTTATGGATTATTGTTCTTAAAATCCTTTAAATAGTTATTTTTAAACAAAATATTCTTTTAAACGTTTTTTTATTTTTTTGCCAGGACTGGCAAACTTCACTACCCGTCAGACGTATGCGGTCCCTTGTTTGAGGAGGAGCTGGAATTTTGGGGGCTGGATGCCAATCAGGTGGAGCCTTGCTGTTGGATGACATACACTCAGGTAATGGGAAATAAAAAGAAATATAAATTTTCTGGCTGACTGCCATCTTAAGTGACAACGGAACCAAAATACTTCAATACACAAAATTCCACATCTTGTAGTTTATACATTTAAAATTTATAATATTATTATAATAAAAATCAATATCTTAAAAACCTTTTAAAATTAACAATACACACAAAACTGAACTGTCATATTATCTGTTATGCTTCCAATGGTAGGTTACCATAGAGAAAATATAAAAAAATATCGTTTTTTAAACTCTAGGTTAAGATAAGACGACCTTTTTAACATAAAAAACTTTGTTATTTAATTTAGATTGATGAAAATAACAAAAGCCGATACAAAAAAACGGGGTAGCATTTTTACAAGTCACACCCTTTTTGGGACGTTTCTGTCCAAAATTTTAAATTAATTTTATTTATAGTAAGTTTGGCATAAAATTTTAGAAATTCATACCAAATTGCACTCTTTTACCTTGCCAAGTTGAGGACATTTTCAGGGCTCATCTCACTAAAATTCATTTATCTATTTTGCGTTCATAATGACTTCATTATAACTGTAATGAGATACTTTATCCCACCCAAAATTTTGATTTTATAGGTTGACTATACTTTAAACAGCATAATATTTTGCATATTGGTTATAATATTTTTATGATTTTTCTTGTACTTACGAGACTTTTCTGGCAATAAATTTTATTTGACACCAAAGAAAATCCTTTTTTTTTCTTTAACATTTACAGCCGCTTATAAGTAAATTAAGGACAGCATGGCGAATCTATTTGACTTTGATACCAACTATCTAAAGTAAAATTGGACCAAATTAAATTTAAGGTTTAACATTATTTTTTTATATAGAATTTTGCAAAATAGATAAAATAGCATAAAGAACTCATGTCATAAGAGCTTTTGTCGCACTCGTATAAATTGTCCGCGTGCGAAAAAATGACGTCTTATAATAGAATATTCTCACACTATCTTAATATAATATCTTAAAGTTGTAGGTACTGTTTTTTTAGAATTTAAAGGCAATTTTTTTTGTTAAACGATACATACAACTTAAAATTAATAAACGTATACGTTTACGTCTATAGAAAGTGAAGTTAGAATCATGTGACTGATGCCGAGTTTTATGTTTGGATGCAAGGGGCAAGAAAGTTTACCCCAATTTAAAACCCGATTGGTTCAAACTGATCAATCACTAACACAAAACTACTAGATCTTTATTTAAGCAATATTAACTGCTTTGTTAAAGTTATATAAACATTAACAAATCAATCAAAACTATCTTGTGGATAATTAATCATTCGTTTTTCATTTGCGGTTCTGATTTATATCATCTTATATTTAGACATTTACCTAATTTATCTGTGTCACTGAATTTAATATTTATGGGGTATTCAAATATTGTGAACATATTTTGTTCATGCGTGATGTTTAATTTTAATGTAATGTTGGGAATTAAGGAAATTAAAAATAATAGTGTTTTTTTATGCTTCAGGGAGTTAAAAGTTAAAAACTTTTGATTAATAACTTTCAAACCCTTAAAAGAAACCAATCGTAGCAATTGCCTTACTTTGTAATGCTCTGATAGAAGTAAAAATATACTTTGTGGGTTACTCAGTGGAGTACGTAAGGGTATTTCCATAGGGTTTTTAATGGAAAATATTTTAGGAACGCTACTAAAAAAATAAGTTTATTTTTATTTTATTTATTTTTTTAAAAAAATTTATATAAAGGTTTTATATTGCGTTTTCTTTGTATTCTGTATCTTTCCGTAATTAAACTTTTTGTAAATATTACTTTTTTACAGCCTACACAGGTTAATAAAGGTGGCAGACACATAATCCAGTATGCCATGATTCATAAAGAAGGCATTACAATAGCTAAAATTACATTTTCTAGCCTTAATTATTAAAAATTCATAAAAGCAAACGTAAAAATTATTTTGTTACCAAGAAATCTATATATCTTTCTATATCTATAATGGGACAGAAAAAAGATTACGGATATTTATTAAGTAAGTAAAAAAAATGCAAGATACGTGTGCAGGTAATACAAAACAGGTTTGTTGACAAAGATTTTAAAATTTTGTCAGTTTTAAAAATTACTCACTATTTAAAAAAATATCCACTAAATTTTTCTTACCATTTTTTAAAGAAAGTAGCTAGAATCAACAAATTAAAATCAGACAAATTTTAAAAAATTTTATTTTGATTTTTCATTTCATTTTGATTTTAAAATTTTTTCTATAAATGCAATTTTTGAAAATTTTGAAATTTTGGAAATTTTAGTGGCTAGAATCCCGCAAAAGGGGCCAGGCTTAAAAAATTAAAATCTCGCTTGGGCATGGTTTATTTAGAAACGACAAACTGGTTAAGTTAAACACGAACGAAATTTATTATTATTATTATTGTTTAGTATACAACATTAATAATAGCTTAAATTTAATGGGTAACAATGTATACAAATAAACTGATCGAAAAAAGTTAAGCATATTTTTGAACAAAGTTGAAATCAAAATGAATAGCGACTGATACCTATAATGCGTTTTTTCGTCTTCGTTCTTTTTTGTCTAAAATTCTTTTATTTTTAAGTTTTTATTACCAAATAATAAAATAAATTATACAGGGCGTATAAAATTGTATCGTTAAATTTATGTTTTGGTCAAAATATCTTAATATGCTTAACTTTATTCGATTAGTTTATATAACTATAAGCTTAACAATTTATAAGTAGCTCGGACTTTAACTTGTACCATGGTTAACCATAGAATACCATGGTATCCCAAAAATTACCAGCCAATTCTTATGTAAAATTGTCCCCTGAATCTGAAAATGTTGTCAAAAGTTAAAAAAGTAGAAAAGTTTTTGAGATATAGTCAATTTTACATTTAATATGGAATTAACTATATCATCATTTTCATAATTTTTGACGGTACTTTCGGATTCAGGGGACAATTTTACATATGAATTGGCTGTTAAATTTTGGGATACCATGGTATTCCATGGTGAACTATGGTACAAGTGAAAAAGCAGCCACCAATAACTATTAAATTAGTCATTTTTGACTAATTCATTTTTAGAGAGTGGGCTTAACCTGCCTAAGCTACTTATAAAACCTTGTATAATGAGTTAAATATAAAGTATATACGGTTTATTGGTAAAAATGCCTGATTACATGACAGGGTTTTTTAAATATTTTTGGACTTAAGTCCAATTCCGTGCGCGCAAACTGGGCTTAAGCTGCCTAAGCTACTTATAAAACCTTGTATATAATGTGTTTTGCTAAATATATAGTGTATCCCGTATGGTTTAGTGGTTAGAATGCCTAATTACCTGACAGGGTTTTTTTGTAATATTTTTTTCACTGATAAATTTAATTACCTACCTCGTATCTCGTTGAGACAAATGTTAAAAAAAATTGAATTTTAAAAATTGAACTTCCTTTTCATATTATAATATTGAAAATTTTATTTAAATTTTACTTATATGTAAATAAAAGTATATATTACATTCAAATCGTCAAACTTATTATCATACAGTTTAACAAATAATAAAATCCGGAATCTCCCCAACTGTAGAATCTTAGATATACATACAATTAATTTATCTACTTAAAACAAAGCTTCCAAAATAAAATTTGGACAGTTTTTTTATTCAAATTAATTTGTTTTACAGTACATGTTTATAACACTTTTTCAACAAAAAACATAGATTTGCAATATAAAATGGTTGATTTCAAATAACTTGTGATTTTAACATTTGTATTTATAGCATCGAGATACACAAGAAACCCTGGCAGTTTTGGACAGACTGGACTTAGATACGGAAAAACCCAGTGATGAAGAAATCGCAAGGAAGTTTGGATTCGAAGAGGATTATTTTAAGGGTACCCTCTCATGGTGGCAACTTATGAAACCGAAAATATGGTCCTTGTTCGACGAACCGTATTCGTCGACTGCAGCTAAAGTAAGTTTTGTTTTTGGCATGTTCTTGTTAAAACTAAGTTTTACAAGATTCATTAAAACTTTTAACTTTTTAATTAGTTAAGTGCGGATTGTTACTCAATTAATACTCCTTTGTTTTGGAGCCAGTATCTGAATATACTCTTCATTTTATTTAATCAACAAAATTTTAATTATTTTTTCTACTCCCACCTTTAAAACGCCCTTTATCATACATGTTTCCATGACACTAAGTGACCTTTTAAATACACATTGACAAGTTGTGGCTTTACGGCGCTTTAGTCACGGGCTGAAGTTAGCAACAGATTTTTAGTCACGGGCTGAAGTTAGTTTTAAGTTAGTTGACAGTTGTCAAATGTCATACAATCGTTAAAATAAAGTGCCTTTCTTGTAAAATAATACTAAATGTGAAAATTATTTTATTATCTGAATACAAAAATACAAAAATATTAAATAGTTTCTCAACGCCAATATTTGAAAAGTTTATATGAACATTGTACTGACCTTTTAATTTCGCCGGCAGTAAACTATAACTTAAATTCGGGTAAGGACTCTACTGCAAAGTCCTCATAAAACATTTCCTTTACTTTCACTGTGAAAAACTGTCAATTTTCAAGATACATTTCGATTTATAACCTATATAATTGTGTTTATAAAATGTAAAATGTGACATTTGACAGTTTCCCCTGTTGTTTTATAGATGGCGCTCTATACAAATTTTTGATTTAAATCATTTTAAGATAATAATAAGTATTTGTCGTAGAAAAAGTATAGTATGCACCTCGTTTATAAACTTTTCTATACACTCATAAACTTAAGCACTCGCTCGCAAGCTCGCTCGTGCCTAAATTAAATTCGTGTATAAAATGGCGTTTATCAAACTTGATACATAATATACTATTATGTCATACTTTACTATAATATAGTTTAATATTGAGTTTTTATTGCTTATTTACCAACTACAAAAAAAGTAGATTACACTTTATAAATAAATTACGAAATATAAAATTAATAATAACGAACTAGGACAGAAGCCCACGGTTTTGTAAGATCATCGCACTCAGGGCATAAGCATCTACTAATACCCTTGGTACATAAATAACTATTTGACATTGTAACTACATACTTTTTGCATTTATTTCTAAATTTGAATTAAATGCAGACAAACTACAGTTTATCACCTTCTTTATTACGGTTTTAATATGAAACACTTAAAATCGTTGCACGTTATTGTAATGCAGGGTCCGGCAATGAAATGTGTTTTATCTTGATCATTTTGAGTAAACTTCTTTTATTTGAAATGAAGTTATTTCCATTTTAAATTTTCCATGCATTTTATGACACGTATAGTTTATTTTCTTATTATTACAACTTTAATATCTCATTTTGGAATTTAGGTCTCAGTTTGTAACGTATTTAAAATACAATTATAAGTTTAATTTAAATAATCTCACAATTTTTTTTAATAAAAACAAGAAAATGCAGAAATTCTTTAAAAACTACATATGAAGTAAACCAAAACTTGGCCTAATGATACGTTACGGAACTTCCGTAACGGAAGTACTCTGAAATTTCACCCGATTATTGCCACATTATTTTTTTATGAAAATCGCAAAACACAATTCTATTAAAAAAAAAAATTGACTTTAAATTTCTAGCTGTTTTGCTTTATTCTTCGAATTTAAACTTGAAATTTACCCTCATATTTTAACTAACTTCCCAAGTAGCATTATAGTGATGAAAACTGATATCGCAACTTAAAATTAGTGGCAATTACGTTAAAATAACTAAATCTACCACGATACAGTTCTTCATATTATATTAGCATAGTTGTTGTCATGTGATTTGCACCAGCAGAATATACTTCATAGTTTTATAACTTTTTGATGTATGAGTCTGGTATGTTATGACCACTTTTGACACTACATTAAAGTTGTCCAAACTAAAGTGGATTATAAATAGTAACGGCAATCAAACCACATCCATTAAGTGTTATTTAAAAGTGGTAGTAGTAAAGTGAGTATACCAGTTTTGGCAACGTTTTCAGAACTTTCCCAAACCTTGAAAGTGGTAAAACTTGATTATATAACTGCGGCACTCAGGAAAACTGTGCATTAAATTATTTAAATTATATACCTACTTCAAAATTTAATATTGTATTTAATATTGTAACGATTTTTCATGAAATACATTTTAGTAAAACTGATCAACTCATATTTTAGATATGTGGTGGAAAAATCAAAGTATTAAAGTTTTAACGCTGAATTGCAAATCATTTTTTTCTGGATGTTTCAGATTTTTGGAAAATAGAACATAAAAAACGTAATTTATTTCTTTGAAACTAATGCGTTTCCAAGCACAAATTAATAGCTTTTTCGTCAAATAATTTTTAGATTTTTCGAGTTCTGACCATAGAAAAATCAGTGTTTACCCAGATAATCTCTTCCTATTTGTTTTTTGATTTCAGAATGGAATCCTTGTGAGTACTTTCGTTTCTGTTTTTATTTTTTTTCGATGCCTTATGGAAATGCGTTTTCGAGTTTTGATTAAAACAAGTTGTTTTTTTGTAATTAAACTTGTATAGTATTTATCACCAACCAACATAGCAAGTTAAAAAAAAACACCAAATTCAACGAGAAAAGTAACTATAGTATATATCATTATTAGAAATTTTATTTTCTATTAAAACATGTTAAGTTCTTTAAGAAAACCAAAACCTTATGCAAGAATTAAATTATTTAATTAAATTATCAAGCTCACTTCTTTTTTAAATTTCCAAGGTTGACAAAATATGTTTTGTATATATATTTTTTATAACAATATGAATAAAAAACTACATATTTATCATCGCCCATTTTAATTCAGGGTAAACAATACATTTCTAGGGTTATTTATGCACGCTAAATAATAGGTTTTTGTGTATGCAAACATTCAAATTCAAATATTTTTTTAATCGAATGGTGTATGCCAGAATCAGTAATTATGTATTATTAAACTATATTCAAATTCATGAAGTTAGTTTTATGTTTTTATCGAAATTAAAATCGATTTTTAGTCAAAATATGGCAATTTTTAAAATTCATTGCATTTCGATAAAAAATAAAGCGAGAGCTGATTGTGCAAAATGATGGATTCAACGAACCCAAATTACCCTAAAAAAATTATTGTTGCAGCAAACAAACAATTTTATTTTCTCTATCAGTGTTATTTATTTTTGCATTCATGGTGATTGCGTCAAGTATAATAATCTCTTTATTTAGGTTATTTTTTTGTAAATACCTACCTTATAAAAATTCAAGTTACAAAATAAAAAAAAACATTTTATTTATTTATTTAATTTAATTTAATATCAAATTAATTAAATTCATTTTCTCAAATAGAATCTTCATTTATATCTACATCCACATCACCTGTATATACAACATCAGGCTCGTCATTATTGTACACCTTGTAAGCTTCCTTAAAACAAAAATCCCAATTGGTCGCAACCAAATTTTTAATATTATGTTAAGTAACTTGTTAACTTTGTATTTTAATAGATAATATTATATCGGAGCGGTGCGACGAATTTTTTAAAAACATGTTAAAATTTTATACGTACCTTCAGCAACTTTTAAAAAAATCTACAGCACTTTTAACAGAGCGTAAAATTTGACGTTTCAAAACGTCTCGCTCAGGTATGGCGGTAGGCCTTCTTACTCGCTTTCTTAAAGCCCAAATGGATAAAACATAGACATATTTTGTCCATTTGGTGCAGGAATAGGTTCTACATACCGTATACCGTATTTTGTTGTACGAAAAAAACATTTATTTTTTAAATTTGGTCAGCTTTTTTCCCTTTTCCGACCATTGTGCGCTGTTATGATGTCAATTTAGTCTCATGTCGGTTTTTGTATGTTAAATCCCCATCTCAAAGCCTGCATTAAGAAGCATAGCATCAAAACTAAAGAATATATTATGTACTTGGCTGTAAGGCACTTTACTACCTTATACAACTTTAGCAATATTTGTTAAAACCGTGTAATTAGGCAAATTCACCCGTTGGAGATCTTTCCTGTATGCAAGCAAAAAATATATATCACTGTGACAGCACAGTGCACGTAATTTGCACAATTTTAACGTAAATTACGTATACGTTGGATGTAACCGGCACAAAAATCGTGTTTACACCTGCAAACAGACCACGGCGAGCCGGTTCATGCACGCAAACGTGTCATGATCAAAAGTAAATCCCTCCCCTTTCGCAAATTTGCATGAAATTAACGTTTAATAAACAAATCCTTAATCGAAAAATAATCGCCCGACCTTATGGTTCATGGTTTTTTTTTATCGTCGGTATTTTTTGTAAGAAAAGGGTTTTTTCCTCGATTAACACTTTCTTGTATTGGGTATACTTTAAAATTGCATTTTACAAAATATTGGTTAAAAAATAAATTATCTGTAACATGTTGAAAATGAAAAATCGTTTTAAAACCTATTAATAACAAAACTTTAACCTGATCCCAGTACTGAATAGTTTAAAGCCAAACTATGGTTTATCTATCAGATATTTGAATCCTAAACTAATATTTAAACTAATATTAAGTACGCCAAAATTAGGGATAGTTAGATATGTAGGTTAACTTTATTTTAAATATAAGACTTTCACAAATTCCACTCCCAACTTTCAAACCTATAAAACATTCTCTTCACTTTCGCTATGAAAAACTGCTTCTATATTATCATATAAAAGGTTTTTAGTTCATTTTCAAGGAATAAATTTTGATTTACACACACAAAATTGATATTTTGTTTGGCGCGCCGGTAATACAGATTCCCAAGTTAGAAATTGTTACGCGAGTACCTCTATTTTTTAATAGATGTCGCTCTATTCAAAAGTTTAATTTAAAGTATTTGTCAAAGAAAAAGTATAGTATGCAACTCGTTTATAACTAAAATGGCGTTTATCAATCTTGATACATTATATACTATTAAATCCATAAGCCTAAGGAATTAAAACGTATGATTGGATTTGGAAAAAGAGACCAAATATGAAATAGTGTCCCAATGTGAATACCAGCATCTCAAACAAACAGTTGGAGATGCAAAACAAAGTTATTGTATCTCATTCATTCATTTTAGTACCACACAAATTTTATCTGGTCAGTTTTATTGTTTTGGCGGTAGAAAATATTTTAAGTGAGGTATTTTTCGTTTATAAGTTGACCATAGTAATGTGAATATATGTGTAGCATGTTGTATTTATGTGTTTTTACATTTTCAGGGCAATTTATTGCTCATGTGATATTATTTATAAAATTAAAAAAAAAATTAGAAATTACAATAATTATTATGGTAAAGTTGAATTTTTACAACCAATTTTTTTCGGTCTATATTGTGTTAGATTTATTTTTATAATGTTTCAGTAAAAACGGTAAGTATGGACTAATGACTGAAGCTAAACCTAGGCTCTAGGTTCATAATGACAGCGCTGTTTATGAATTCGGCACTTGGAGTTGATTTTGCAAGTTTCTTCCCTAAAAAGATAAAATTAAATTCTGTAATAAGTTTGGAATACGGCATATTCCGCTCGAGTGGAAAGTTTGTCACACGAGCCAAAGGCAAGTTTGACGGTTTCACGAGAGCGGAATATGCAATTCCAAACGTGTTTCAGACTATACTTTTTCTACGTTTTCAAAAAATACCATAGAAAAATAATTTAATTAGGAAAAAGTGAGGTTGGATCGGTCTTAATTTGTTAGATATTAAACACATAGATGTCGCCACCAGTGTTTATTCCCTCATCCGATGATATAATAATTCATTCTGTAATACTTTCAGGAAAATATTACACATTAAAAAGTGATATTAGAACGAGCATTCGAGTTTAGAATAGTTACACATACTATATACTATTTTATCTTAACATTGGGAATAATGGGATTTTTTTACTGCCTACAAAGCTATTTGAGTTTTAAACCTCAAACACTTATAATTATTAACCAGTATAAGTCAAACGTATCAATGTAACTTCTGTCAGGGCCGGATTAAGACGATTTGTCGCCCTAGGTCAATAATAATGGCGCCCATATTAGTACCTATGGTATTAATATAACACAATACATGTTGGCCGAAAAGGGTGCACATAAGGGGACAAGTGGGGTTTTATAAAAAAATTACAATAAAATAAATAAAAAAAACAAAACAATGAAGAACTAACTTAATTTTTACAATTTACTTCCACTCTTGTATTGTTCCACTAGTAAAACAATATTTTCATTGTTCAACTAGAGTAATATTTACTTACTTTTTAATTTTTTTCAAGCGGTATAATGTCTTAATTTCAAGTACCTAAGTGTAGAAAAAAGTATTTTATTATTGATACGATTTTTGTAAAAACAAAACAAAATGGTATTTTATATTTTGTCACGATTCTGTAATAATAGAAGTTAGGAAGAAAAATATTTGAATTATTTTATTTATTCAACAAATTTACGGTTGCAAAGTGTTTATTTACTGAAGCTAAAAAAGAAAAAAAGGTACAGCGCGCTGCAGCGGATAAAATAATATTGACAAAACGTTATGTTGGCTAAAAAAATAAATATACATTCATTTACGCATATTTATTTATTTCATTAATATAAATTGTATATCTGAATACAATATTTTAAATCTTTATATATAAAAGTACATTACATATACTTTATTATTTATAATTTAATCAACTTTAATGGCATTTATCTCAATAAAAATTGTTATTGTTCAACATAATAATAATAAAATAAACTTGCATACGCATACGCTAACAAAGGCAGTATGCAAAGAAGATGGTTAAGATTTAATGGGCCATCACATTTTCAGCCAATCAAATTTTTATCTGACAGCACTTAAAAGTTTTAAGTTGCCAAAGAAAACAACAAGTTTAAAATCACACTTGCAAATTATAACCTAAAAGGGGAGTTTCATTAAGGATGCCGCTCTCCTAAGGATTTTATGATGGATTTCTTATTATTGTACATTTTAATTACCTGCCTCAAAACAAATACAAAACGAATACAGCCATAACTATTTTAATTAATAATAATTAATAATAATAATAATAATAATTTATTAATTACAGAATTACAAAAAAAATTATATATATGATAGTTCAAAAGATAAATTAAATGTATACTAAACATAAACATGGCAAGTTTCTTAAAAAACAACAAAGACTGCAAAAAAGATTTTATGATTTTTTAAAATTCATTAAAGGGTTTTTCTCTTAGACCATTTGCCAAATTATTAAAGAGGCGAATTCCCACGAAGTAAGAAGAATTTTCATATTTTGCATGCCAATGCATATCAATGGGGATTTTATCCTTAGATCTGGTGGTGTATTAGTTCATTAGTTCTATTTTGTTATGATGTACCAGACAAAGAATTTTGTATATAGGTATAGACACTTAATAAAGTTAAAATTCCATCATTTTTAAAATATTATCTACAAGAATCTAGTTTTTCCGAAAAATAACCCTAATGGCATATTTTTGCAAGATAAAAATTCTATTACTAGTTTAAAGGCTATAAAATCGATGTGTTCATCCTATGTCAAAGATTTATATATTATCAATTTTAAAAATTTGGACGAAATCGAGAAATTAAAAAATTGATTTGAATTTATTTTTTAAGATTACCATAGGAGAATTGAAACAACACAGTTTTTTTGACATAAATTAATATTCTATTTTTAAAACACCAGGTTCTAAATTCAGTTATCACAGTTTCAATTAAATTAACAATTTCACTTTCGGTCTTGCTATATCCAAAAATAGTTACATCATCAAAATACACAAAAGTTTCCCGATACTGATGTATTTGGGGAGATCAGGAAACAAGGGACCCAAAGTTATTCAAGGTTATAAAAGTTATAAAGTTAAAAAAAATTCCTGTGTTATTAAAACGTTACATTTATTATATGTCTAATTTCAACCTTGAATATCTATTAAAGGAGTGAATTTACGAAAAAATTATAAGAGACATTTTTTGTAGAACGTTCAATTTTCTTCAAAAATATATTCCAATATGTTTACTCAAAAACGAGTTATAAAATTTCAAAGTTAAGAAAAAAGAATTCCTGTGTTATTTAAACGTAAAATAGAAATTCACGATGAGCGACCTCTAAATATTAATATTAAGAGCTACAATTTTCACAGGCTTCTTTTTTCATTACTAGGAAGATATTTCAATGCGGGCTTTGAAGAAAAAAAATATTCGATTTTTTTGAACCAGTCTAATATATATTTATATATATATATATATATATATATATATATATATTTGAATGTTCCTCATTACCATTTTTTTATATTTCCAAGTATACCAAGGTTATATAGTTTATTAGACAAAAAATCTGGATAATGTGTATCAAATGTTCTAGAAAATTCAAAAAACATTCCTTCTACTATGTACATTTTTATTTATATGTTGTGTGAATTCTGTAGTGACTGTCTCTGTTGAAAGTCGTTTTTGATATCCGTTTTCACATTTAGAGTCTGTTTGCAACAAGTTTTTCCAATATTTTTGGTATGGAGCTAAGAAGTGAAATTGGTCTGAAGTTTTTCGGGAAAACTACCAAGATAAATCTAGTGATTTAATAATTGTGCAAACGAAGTCCAGCAGTTTCTTTTAAACAGAATTAGGTATATCTAACTCATCATATCCAGTCGATTTATTATTTGGCATACTCGTAATAGTTGTGTAAACTTACTGTTCTGTAAAAGGATAACTATAAATACTTTTTTCTACTCCCACCTTTAAAAAGCCTTTTATCGTACATGTTTCCATGACACTAAGTGACCTTTTAAATACACATTGACAAGTTGTGGCTTTACGGCCCTTTAGTCACGGGCTGAAGTTAGTTTTAAGTTAGTTGACAGTTATCAAATGTCATACAATCGTTAAAATAAAGTGCCTTTCTTGTAAAATAATACTAAATGTGAAAATTATTTTATTATCTCAATACAAAAATACAAAAATATTAAATAGTTTCTCAACGCCAATATTTGAAAAGTTTATATGAACATTGTACTGACCTTTTAATTTCGCCGGCAGTAAACTAACTTAAATTCGGACACGGACTCCACTGTAAAGTGCTCATAAAACATTTTCTTTACTTTCAATGTGAAAAACTGTCAATTTTCAAGAAAAACATTTCGATTTATAACCTTTATAATTGTGTTTATAAAATGTAAAAATGTGAATCTGAATGTGACATTTGACAGTTTCCCCTGTTGTTTCATAGATGGCGCTCTATACAAATTTTTAAATTAAATCATTTTAAGATAATAATAAGTATTTGTCGTAGAAAAAGTATAGTATGCACCTCGTTTATAAACTTTTCTATACACTCATTAAATTCGTGTATAAAATGGCGTTTATCAAACTTGATACATAATATACTATTACAAGTCCCCTTAGATAAAGTCCAGACGTTAGATAAATTGTCATTAAAATGATCACTAAAATCACTACAGAAGAAAAATACTGCAACTTTTTTGGGTTTGCCAAAAGCTTATTGTTTATCTTTAAAATAATCTATTTATTAGTTTTTGTATAAATTTTATTGTTAACTATTGACCATGGTGTTTTTGAGGGATTTTGAATTTTATGGTTCATTTTAAATAGTTTTATCTCCTATCGATTTTGTATTTTGTATTTAGTTTAGGAAACTTTTTTTCGAGATAATTAAGGTCTTTAGGCTTTTCAGTATTTTTATTTAAAGAGTTACCAAATTTAATTTTTTTACCGGTTTGTTTGATTTTTTTATTTATTTTTGGTAAAGCCACCTATCTATAAAAATATTAAACATATCATTATCATTGACAACACATAAATTAAAAAATTCTACATCATTGAAATAATTGAACTTTCAAAATAGTTATTAACAACTTATTTTTTTCATTCTTTTTTAGGTGATAGGAGTTCTCTCAGTATTCTTTATCTGCGTCTCGATCTTGTCGTTCTGTCTGAAAACGCATCCGGACATGAAAGTGCCTGTAATCAAGTTCAAGAGCATCAGGACAGCCAACAACACGACTGAAAGCATCATTGACAAGACGGACACCGACGCGCACATCGCGTTCTTCTACACCGAGTGCATATGCAACGCGTGGTTCACCTTCGAAATACTCGTAAGGTTCATCGCCTCGCCCAATAAGTGTCAGTTCATAAACTCCTCGGTGAACATCATAGATTACATCGCGACAGCGAGTTTCTACATCGATCTGCTTCTGAGGAAATTCGCCTCTCACCTGGAAAACGCCGACATAATGGAGTTCTTCTCCATCATCCGCATCATGCGTTTGTTCAAGCTAACCCGACACTCATCGGGCTTGAAAATCTTAATACAAACATTCAGGGCCTCAGCGAAAGAGCTAACCCTGCTGGTATTCTTCCTGGTACTCGGTATAGTCATCTTCGCCAGTTTGGTATACTACGCCGAAAGAATCCAAACTAACCCCAAAAACGATTTCAAAAGTATACCGTTGGGGCTGTGGTGGGCTCTAGTTACTATGACAACTGTTGGTTACGGTGATATGGTGCCCAAGACTTATATAGGAATGTTTGTTGGTGCCCTGTGTGCTCTAGCTGGTGTGTTGACGATAGCTCTGCCCGTGCCGGTTATTGTTTCCAACTTTGCTATGTATTATAGTCATACGCAGGTAAGAATTATTTAGTTTGTTGGTAAAATGAAATCTTGGTATTATTGAACTAAAAGTAACTTCTAAACTAAACATAAATCACGTTACACCCCGATATTTTGTCATTCTCTAATTATTACTGGCCCCTATTAGATTTATTTACAAAAACTAAAACTAATCTATGACTCTTTTATTTTTTCATTTAAACTGTTTTAAAATAACCCTATATAAAAAAATAAAAACCATATTAATTTGAAGAAAAAAAATGGGAATAATTGTAAAATAATGTTTATGCTACATGGACATTCTTTAAGTTCGATTTTTAGTATTTTTTTGTAAAAAAAATGTTTTTATAAGATATACAGTGTGTCCCAGAACTCGCGCTACAAAGAAAAAGGGGGCGTGCTGATAGCAATGGAGATGCCAAATTTAAAAATAAAAAATATCTAGGTAATGGTATTGTGGGGACTGAACCCCTAATTATATTGTAAATATTTTAGTACCCGAAGCCGTTTCTTTCAAAACAGCAAAATTTCCTATCATTTGCAAACATCCCTGGGTTTATTAACCTTCACCTCTTCTTTACCTTTACAAAAGAAATATACTCGTGTTTATAAATTAAATCCAAAAATATAATAGACTCTATTGACTCTATGAGGTTATAACATCAAAATTCCAAAAACATTTCGAGGAAAACCAGCACTAAAACAGCAAAAACCTTTTTTAAAACGACATAACTTTTTTTATTTCTTGAACGATTTTATTTTGGTCTGTGATGTCTGCTAGCCCCATCCAATTTAATGCAATTCATGCTATAGATAGCTCGAGCTCAAGGTTCAAGAAAATTTCCTACAGGGTGTAAATAAAAATATTTTTTCTCGTTTTAACTTTAAAATAATGAAGTATTATGTCTTACATTGAAAAGTTTTTAAAATTTTTCTAACTGGAATCTTAGCAACGAAAATAGTACATTTAAGGATTTTTGGTAGGCAATACACTCGTCTTTTTAAGAACAAGAAGATTAGATGGTAAAAGATTGTTCCTTGAATAATTCTGGACAAGTGACAAGCAATAAACTTCCATTATTTTCAGAGGGGCCTAAGCAAAGACCACTTTTTCAAAATGAAATTCTGGTGAAAATTTGCGAAAACTAAACCTTATAAACTTATACAAAAAAAAACTAGCAAACTGAAAAAACAAGAATATCCCTCATAATGCGTTTTTCAAGAACTAATTTTCATCATTTGATCCTCGATTTGATTCAGGGACATAATAACGTACTAAAGATGCAAAACACAGTAAAAAAACAGACATTTAACAGCCGGGACTTGTTTTTGAATTTTGATTCTTGGTGATTTTGGTTTTATCTAAAACTTTAATTTGACAACGGAATCAGAATCATGAGGTCAAAATTATAAAGAAAACATGCCACGAACGCAAATATCGGTTCAGGTTTAGTTTTCGCAAATTTTCACCAAAATGTCATTTTGAAAAGTGGTCTTTGCTTAGGTTCCTCTAAAAATAATGGAAGTTTGTTGCTAGTCGCTTGTTCAGAATTATTTAAGGAACCATCTTATCTTCTTGTTCTAAAAAGAGGAATGTATTGCCTACCAAAAATCCTCAAATATACTATTTTGGAAAAAAAGTCATATTTTTGTTGCTAAGATTCCAATTCGAAAAATTTGAAAAACGTTTCAAGGTAAGACATAATATTTTATTAGTTTAAAGTACAAACGAGAAAAAAAAATATTTTTTCAAACGGTTCTTGGATGAAGTTATTGAAATTTTTTACCGTTTTACATATCACCTTGTAGGAAATTTACTTGAAGAACCGCGAGCTTCATATCTATATCATGAATTACCAAAGGATGAGGCTAATAAAATCATTCAAGAAACAAAAAAGTTATGTCGTTTTGAAAAAGAACGAACTTTTTGGTCGCGACACATTGAGTGGTGTTTAGATCTGGGTTAAGGTAGACATACCTATTAGGCTAAAATACCAAAAATAATATTTTGCACTTGGTTTTTCTTTAAACTTAAGAGGTTTTTCTTACTTAAAAACTAAACAGGGTGTAAGGGATAAAAAATCAAAGTGGTGGTAGGCTACGCCAAGACAAGTATTTTTGGTATTGAGGACATGTTTTTGGAAACGCACTCCTCGATCTACATGCGTCAAAAACTTCGAATTTCAAATGCAGACAGTGCGCTCAGTTTTTGACGCATGTAGCTTCAAACAAAAAATTCTAATTTTTTGGCATTTATTCCCCAACACCCTTTATACATAATAGGTAAATAAAATGATGATCCATATTACCTTATAACTATTTATATATTGATATCTGTATGCAATTGACATCTTCAGGCCCGAGCAAAACTGCCGAAGAAGAGACGGCGCGTTCTGCCGGTGGAACCGACAAGGGGCCCTCGGCTTCCAGGACAGGCCCCTCCAGGGACGGCGCCGCCTTGCAGCGGGGCCCCCCAAGGCCCCCAGGCGGCGCAAAACCGGCGCATGAACGCCATCAAGTCAAATCATCCGAAAGACATGCTCGGAGGACCTTGTCCCAAGATGGGTAAGTGCTTTTGTCAACATGATATTATTAAATCTACCTCTAATATAGGTTTATGCATTAGCTAATTCGGGTTAATTAAGGTTGATGGAAAATATGATATATTAAGTAATAAAGTTATGTAAATTAAGCAACTTGGATAATGTACCTTTCTTAATATGTCATATAACAAACTATAAATATTGTTTTCTAAAATCCTTAGTTTTAAGTTGTACCTGGTACACGGTGGGACATAAACATGATCGGTTTTAAACAAAGTCTTAAAAACAAACTGCAAATCTTGGCAAAAATATTTTCCTGGAATATTTCTAGCATTCTTTAAAACCTTAAACCTACCCTCCATGATGTTCCAATCCTTTTGAGTTTTTTCTTTAGAGATACTTAAAAAGTCACCTCAGTTTTAAAGCGTATGTTTCACATATAGATAAGGTTATTTTCTTACAAAAATTTAATGTTTACTTTTATTTAAAATAAAAATATGTTCGCTAAGATTTACGGTTTGTTTTTAAGAACTAATTTAAAATCGCTCAACTTTATGGACCGCTCTGTAAAAAGATAAGGACTAAAAAAAAATTAGAAGTTTTGGTCGGTACGATTTTTTTAATAGTTTATACAACCTCCAATCTGAAAAATAACCGATATTTTGAAAAACAAAAACAACCAATGCATTGGTTGTTTCAATGGTCATCTTTGCACCATGCAGACAATACATATGGTCATACCACTAATTCAAATTTCTTTGGGTTGTGACATCCGCAGATTTTTTTTTTATTTTGAGCTCTTAATATTAAGTTATTTCGTATTCATGATTTTTTTCAATTTTGAAAATATCTTTTTTATGTAAATATTCTCAGCTTTTCTATGAAAATATTCATTCTTTATTATAAATGACAAAAGACACTGAAAATTAAAGTAAATTTGTTATTTTTTTTCTGAAAGCAGACAATTTTTTACATAAAATATACAATTCTCATGTTTCTTTTTTAAATAGATTAAATTAAAATATAAAGTAACTGTAAGTAATTTTTTTTTCAAATAATTGAGGTTATGTTTTTAACACCAATTTCGTCTTTTCTGAAAATAATATAAGTAATATGTACTCTCTTAAAAGGAATTAGTCGAAAATAACTAATTATAAGTAATATTTGACTAATTTTCATAGCAAAAAGCATTCACTAATAATTAGTCAAATTCTACTGAATAAAATAGTCAAATTAGTAGATTTAAATTAAAAAAGTTTTAACCCAGCCGGGGATTGAACTCAGGTCTGTCGCTTGTCAAGCTTGTCAAGCTGTTGTCTTAACCAATTTGGCTATCAGTCACTTTTATAAAAATCAATTTTATTGGACTTAATATTAATACTAGTTTAAAAGTCAAATTATTATTAAACTCCGTAGAGAAATAAAGCTAAAACGTCATCATGTCAATTGAACCTAAGCTAAAAATAATGTGACATGTGAATCTTAATATTGCTTATTAATTGCCTCGGCTATAGCCTTGGCGATAATATGTGCTTTTTTCGCCTGGTTTTTTCATAAACTAAGAATTTTTAACAAAAATACGTTATAATATTTTTAGAAAATAAGAGTTAAATTAACAGATGCATAACCTCATTTATTAAAAAAAAATTACAATTACTTTGTTATTTAATTGTATTTTTCTACTACTACCTCTAATACACTAGGTGACACTAAGTGACCTCTAATACACATTGACAAGTTGTGGCTCTATTGCGTTTTAGACACGGGCTAAAGTTAGCAACAGGTTTTTAGTCATATTAGTTATTAAGACAGTTGTCAAATGTCATACAATCGTTAAAATATCAAATTTTAGTAGTATTCTGCAAGCCTTGACAAATCGCATTTTTTACTTTAATTTAATAACTAATTGACTGCAGAAATGGATATTTTTAAATTTAACTAAATTTGAAATAGTTATTAAGAGGCAAACTTGACAATAATAAAAAACCGTTATTGTAATTATGATAATTTTAACGTATGTTACTATACATATTAATTTGTTTTTAATTGAAAATATATTTTTTGTAAGTGTAAATTTAACTAAATTTGAAATAGTTATTAAGAGGCAAACTTGACAATAATAAAAAACCGTTATTGTAATTATGATAATTTTAACGTATGTTACTATATGTATTAATTTGTTTTTAATTGAAAATATATTTTTTGTAAGTGCAGATATTTGTTTAAAATTCATTTTGAAACTGCGAAACAAAACTACTATCATATTTAAATGTCAATAAAAAAATTTAATTTTTTAATTTTTGGAATTGGAGGTTGTAGACTCTACAATGTAGAGTTAAGATGATGATAACAAAATATCTTCATATTATTATATTTTCCATTATCAAATTTTTAATATTCTTAACAATAATAATTTTTAGTTTTATTTTCTTAACTTTTTCTTTCTATATCACAATCATTGTCATTAGATACCGACGAATTCAATCACCACATGGTTGTTGGAGTAAGGAACAATAAGGATCATTCCGATCATCCATTGCTGTGAGGATTTTTTTTAACCTATACCAAGGTGTACACATTTTTGCAGCTCGAAGAATGGACCTTATTTTTATTTAAGGAAATATCCAATACCAATTTCTAAAATTAAATTGAACCCTGAAAATGTTTGCTGTAACATTAATTTCGGAAGAGTTTTCCTTAATGGACCGCTTTTATCCTTTTTTTGTTTTATTTGCGTTAGGAAATTTAATTCTTCAAACAGCTTGATAATTCCATTAGGGCTTTCCGCAGCTCACTAGTATATTGATTAGTTAATCCACAAAAATGTTAACTTCCAACTATCTATTGGAATTTAAAAACTGATGGAAAAAGATATGTTGAGTTGTTCTGGTCAGTGCAAATCTTTTAGAAAACATGTTGTTAAAAGAATTAGCTGAACGTAAAGTACACATTTTATGATCCAAAAGATTTTTTTGCAATTAGTTTTCACTGTGATGATACTAAATTTTAATTTTACTTACTTTTCTAACCTTTAGTTACTCTTACTTGGATCCTTGTACAACCGGTTGTAAATGAAATAAGATTCAACAAACTCCTAAACATTAAAATTTAATGTTCATTGACAAAAACTTAAAACATTAAACTATATCTGATAAATATTAGATTTTGTTCTAAATAAAAATATCTTTAATTTATTTCTTTTATTTTATAAATAAATTTATTTTTGCTCTTTCTTTTAAACATTAAACATAAGTCTTCTTTTTAATAAAAAAAATCAACAGTAGGGAAAAAAATTATGCAAATTTTACTAACAAATAGAATTTTTTTATTTATTCAAAATAAAATATTTATAAGTTTTTGAAAAGTAACACAATTCCGTTTTAAAACCTATTTTGGTTTCGATATTGTAAAACTAACTGTTTTAAATGATGGACATAAAGCATAAAGTCTAACTTTCAAAATATGTTTGTCATATGTCTCACTTTAATGAAATTGTTGTGTACCTGATATTACATTGTTTTACCCAAAACGATTCATAATTTTTCTCAGAAATATTATATGCATATGGTTTGGCATAGATTTGATTATTTTATGGCATTATGATTATGATTACGATTATGTTTGCTTCCCCAGCTCCGTCACAAGGACCTTCCCGTGTGCTGTAGCCTGATAATGTCACGTTTCAGAAAGGCCAAAGTCATGTTTTTGATGATAAATTATGAATTGTCGAGGTGTTTTATCAGAAAAATAACTCAATTAAACAGGGTGTCCCAGAAATCGTCCACCACCTTAAAAATTTGTATGATCTACGGTCTCCAAGGACTCCCAGAAAATCGTTTAAAAACCTATAGGTATACCTTCGTTATTTTTTAATGGCAACGGTTAATCGATTTTGACTTTAATATTTTAAGTAGTTTCTTAGATAAGTAATACTTTTTGTAGACATTTTTTGAAATAGCATATAGCTTCACCAAATTTTGTTTTTTGCGTTCAATTAAGATAAGACGTCTTTCAAAAAGAGGTAATTTTAATTTAGGGAAGAGAGGCCTCATTGTGAGTTGACTCGTCTTATATCCAAATTAGTATAGAAATGGTACTTATAAAGAGTTAATCCATGGCCATATCTTTCAAACTTTTGTAAAAAAAATGTATCACACTTTCTTTTACTGTTAATGTTTTCATATTAAGAAGATGGTTGACCGAAACGGAGGAAATCTTCTTTATTTTGCTTTTTTTAAGAATTTCAGAGACGATGATTTTTATTAACCCTCCAGTTGGGTGAATAGACCTGTAGCAAATTGGGTCAACATTCCTTTATTTATCTGATTCCAGTAATTTTTATTTTTTAATTGAATAAAGCTTTACTACCTTTATAGACTTAAGCCCGCTGCACAATAGCCCGGTAACGGGAATGGGAACGGGAATCTGAACAGGAAAGGTGGGAGAGACTAGGAAACCACTGTTGATCAATAGTATTTGCTGAGTCTCTTCCACCTTTACTATTTAGGTTCTTGTTTTCGTTATCGTTACCGGGATGGTTGTGCAACGTGCTTTATTATTGTGAGATTCCAAAACCCGGAAGGTTTCAAGTTTTTAACCTTTTAACCATTATGACGATAAACATACTTTTAAATGTATAAATGGTTATATTGTTTGACTTTTTAAAATTATATGGAAATATTTAATTTATTGTGTAAAATCAATCCATTGATCATATACAAGTTGTGGTCTTTTAGATACTGAAATTGTAATAATCAAAACGTTCAGTTAAGTTGTGGTACAATCAAAATAGTCCTTATAACCTAACTGGTATCTATTCTAAAAAGGTTTGCATTGATCCGACGGGCACTCACTATACTAAAAATCAATTGAATCTTTCCTTGCATTGTTGAAATCCCCTTCCTAAAGTAAAGAATATAAGTTAATCGACAATCGGAATCCATTAATCTATTTTATTTACGAAATACTTGAGAAACTCGTTAGAAGTTTCAATCGATCATGCAGAATAGAAAGCAGTGAGATTAAAATGTTTCCGTACACGGATAAAAGAGGGTCCATTCGAGAGTCTAAAGATTTTTCTTTAACAGATTTTTGTGCTGTTTACCTTAAAACATGTTTCGGCTCATTTGCGTGAAAGCACCCGTCACACTGTCACTTATCTTAATCGCTTTTCACCGAATTTTTCCTTTCTACAAAAATCACCAATTTTTTTACACTGAAAGAAAAAATGTTTTTGTTTTTGTTGAATCCTAAAAGGATTGCACAAAATGTCCTTTTGTATTGTTATATAAGTTAAACTAAATAAACATACAGGTCTTTGAGAAGTTTTAGAGTTTGAAAAGCTGGAAATAACATTCTATTGTACTTACTAGTTACGTATTCCTTTTATATACAAAGGATTTTAGGTAAAATGAGTTTGCGTTTTGTGTCCATAAAACTAATTAGGAAAAACGTAAGGAAGACAAATTTTATTTGAATTGGTGGAATATGTCTAAGCCAATAAACAATTTAATCCCTGTGGAAACTTGGGAAAACATTAATTATTGTATTGAAATTTTTTATAAAATTATAATATATACAGTAGGGTGTCCCCTATTTTTATTTTTTTTACGCATACCCTCTTATTATATTTATTACTTGTTTATATACTCCCAGTAAAAATTTCAGCTCATTCTATAAACGGGAACCCGTGCCGACTTGCATCTGAACCCTCCGTTAGCCAACCTTAGGCGCGCGCGGTATTTTGTAACACGAAACACTTTAAAAAGAAGACATACTTCATGACTGTATTTTTCTAATGATTTTATTAAATATGATTACTAATTAATATTATTGCTTTTGTTTCTATCATTTGTTTCACTAATTTAGTTGATTTTATCCCTTAAATATATTAATATACCAATTAGTATTGCTAAAATATACTGTTATATGAAATTTCAGCTTTTTATAATCATTTCTTTTCTTGATGTCCTCCCAAAAATATTTCAGACAGTTCAATAAGTTTTCGGTAGTCATCTCTCACAATAGACTCTTTTAGTTATTTAGAGTAAAACCCATTAAGTTTATCAATTTCAGAGTTTACGGCCTATTCAACAGACCCCTCCGGGTAACTAGCCACTCCCTGTGAAAATATACATTTTTATCAAAGTATACACATAAATAAAACTATATTTTAACATTTGTCAATAATTTATAATATAAGGGTCACATAATAACAAACACAAAATGACTTCGCGACCAACCGTTTTACAAAATACCGCGCGCCTAACGTTGGCTAACGGATGGTTCAGATGCAAGTCGGCACGGGTTCCCGTTTATAGAATGAGCTGAAATTTTTACTGGGAGTATATAAACAAGTAATAAATATAATAAGAGGGTATGCGTAAAAAAAATAAAAATAAGGGACACCCTAATATACAGGTTGTCTCGAAAATGTTGTGCAATACTCTACAAGCTGTTGTTAGGACCAAAAATAGGAAGACAAAGTTTATATAAAGATAAATAAATAAGTCATTTATTAATCCAAAGACCTTTATAGATAAAGTCAAAAAAATTAATAATAATAAAGAAAATAAATTTAAAAGTGACATTAAAATAAGGTAGGCAAATGGCCCCTAAGGGACTTACAGCCTCTTAAAAGGGCGCCCCTGAATATGTTTTATTATTAATATTTCTGAAACGGTATACTCATATATGAGATAAAATAGTGGATTTTCCGGAAATATCTGTATTTTTTTATTATGTTATTTTATTTTTATTCAAAAATAGTACATTTTTTATTCTGCAGTCTACAATGCGCACAAAAAATTTTGGGCTAAAAATACCCTAGGCTACCCCTATTTATAAACTCATAAATACAAATTTTAAATTTTAAACCGTTTTGGAAATAGTAATAATTAAAAGAGGCGCCCCCTTTAAGAGGCTGCAGCTCCCTTAGGACCCATATACCGACTTATGTTTATAAAAAGATTTCTTCCTCTTTTGTCATTTGAATCCATATTTAGAATATTTTAGGATGATTTAAAAATCTATTCTTTTTTTAACTTATGATATCAAAAATTGGTTGCTGGGCACCTCAAAAGAAATCTATCTACGTATGAGTTCTTACTATTAAGGGTTAGATCCTTATTATTGCAATTTTTCATTTTCACATTACTCCTAAGAAAAACATTTTGTATCTCACTAATAAATAAATAAAAAGCCAATACCTATTTTAATAGAAAATTAAATGCCCTACAAAAAGGTGGGTTTTGTTTCGTAAACCTACTCATTCAAAAGACATCTTAGGTCAAAATTTAAAAAGTTTTAAATTTTTTTATAATTTTACAATTTTTTAGAATAGGTAGTACATGCTTTTTTGATAAATGTAAGCCTTTTAAAGATATTTGCGAAGCATATTAATGGGTTTTGTCAAGTATTTCCCATAAGGTCTAGGGGTTATATACATACAATTTTAGAAAAAAATGTGAAAATAGTTCAAAGTTAATTTTAATTAATAAGAGGCCTAATTTATACAGATATTTCAAGAATCGACAAGTAATATTAATATTTTTTACGGTAGTCATTAAAAAAAGGTTAGAGTATAAGTTGAACTTTAGCGATTATATTTAAATTAAAAAAACATTTTTTAAATATCAGTTAATTTACAACAAAAATATGTAACACTCATTTTAAAATTTTAACTATTTTGGGGGAAATAAAATTTAAAAAAAATTTAATAAACCTTTTAAATTTGAAAAATATCTTTGAAAGGCTATGGTTACAAAAAAATTTAAGATACATTTTTTGTAGAGCATTCAATTCCATATTAAAATATTTATTAGGCATATTTTGATATTTAATTGGTAGTGAATAATGAGTAAAGTTTTTCCCATTTAGTAATGTAAAAATGGAAAATTGCGATGAGGAGGACCTTTTGAGGTGTCCAGCAACCAGTGTCAATATCAAAAGTCAAAAACGATCAAGAAAAAAAAATAAATTGATTTTATATATTTTACGTGCCTTCCTAAAAAACATAGAAAACTGTTTGCTGTTCTTAAACAGAATTCATGTAACAGTGTTTGATCGATGGTCACAAAGTTTGTTAAACATTTCATATTATCAGAATCTGTTCCTTATATTTGATTGAAATTTTTTATTGGCAGCATTATAATACCTTTATTATAAAAAAACATATTAAGATAAAAGTTTAAATAGATCATTGGGTATGCTTTTGACCATGGACTAAAAATATCTTTATTTGCATTAAAACAAAAATTCCGCCATTAACATGACTTGCTTTTAATTTTTTCAGATGAGGAAAGACGACTTTCCACATTCCGTTCTAACGGAACCAAATCGAACTCAGATCTAAACTGTGAATAATATCAGGGGTAAAATAATAAAAAGTATTTACTAGTGGAGTAAAGGAATTAACATTGCCTAATATCACATACATTAGAAGGATGAGTTTTGGGAGTTTCTAGTTCAGTTTAAATAGAACCATTATTATGATGCATAGTCAGTATTTTACTGGGAAAGAAACTGATAGGAGTGTGGAGTTTAGATTTATAATTTTTTAAGATTGGTGAGCAGTGACGATGTATAATTAAACAATCCTAAAAAAATGCTATTCCCAGTGGAACTCTTTGACTCACTACAACAAACGTCTAAATTACTTCCACACTATAAACACAACCTAACTTATGGAATATATTTACATAGCAATTTTCTTTAACAAGAAGAGTAATATCTGGCAATGTATAATCCTTGTGCAATATCTCCGATTAGGTGTGGAATGAAAAATAGAGCATGATAAGAAATTTACCGTCTTCATAAGTCAAATAACTTGTTGAATAGAGAATGTAAATTAAAATAAAGTATTAGGCTCTTTAGAAACACTACTACTATGTACTTAATCCTGAATGATGTATGTAGATAAGAATAAGGGATTTAATGGAACATTTTTTGTGTTATAAGTGTTGTTTCATATGTCTTAACTTAATTTTAAAAGTTTTGTTTAGTAGGGCACTGTCTTTGCAAAAACAATGCTATGCTTGAAAATTGTTTGTCTTGTCCAGTTATTATGTCGATATATTTTCCTCTAAAAAAATTAGGTGGTGGGTGTTTATAAAGACCTTGTAAATTGGCAAGAAAATTGTTAAAATGTCCCATAAAATCTTCAACAATACTTTATTTTTAAGGTAACTTGCATGCAAAAGTGGCGATATTTTCGATGTTGTAAATTGTTGAATGTTTTCTTCTAGGCCCTACTAAATGTAAAACAAAAAACTTTAGGTGTTCTTGGTGTGAAAGAAAAAGATGTTTACCAAAATTTTTATTTTCATTTATATTTTTTAGGGCTGATCGGAGTGACGTCGTCGTTAAACCCAAACGGGGTTGGGTTAGAATCAAATCCAGCATTCTTGATGGGAAAGCCGAAATTTGAACCGACCCCCTCCACTCCGCATCAGCAACCCACACAAGTGAATTTGGCCCAATCAGGATCCGGGCAATGTTACACGACCACTGTGAAAACGAACAACAATTAAGCTGCCAAAAGTAGAAAAACATACAGAGTGATTCAAAAGTATTAAATGTTTTCTTTAAATTTCAAAGAGATTTTTTAATGACAATTTTGTATAAATTTTTAGTGTAAAAGAAATGCAATTTTTGGATTTTGGCTTCTTACAATTCTGCGAATTTTCCAAATCCATTTGTAAAAATAAATAAATAAATAATTAAATTTGTATATTTTTTCTATAAACTTCTAAAGTAACGTTACACATTTGACATCAATGAAAAATGTAGTATAAGTATACAAATACCTACAACAAAGTTAATGTAATAATTTGTTTATTAAAATATGATTTATTGGATTATTTTCGAAATATATTTTTTTATTGACAGAATATTATTCATTGGAATATTTAACAATGTTAAATATTAAATTAAAAATAAATCTGGCATAATCATAAAAAATACAAGCTTTCCTCGAAAAAATTATTGCAAAATAACTTCGCGATTAGGTGACGTTTTATGGCTCCCTCGGTCTCCTGATTTGACATCATGTGATTTTATATGGTGATACCTAAAATGACGTGTGTACGAAAATAAGCCCACTTCGTTGGAATTTCCGAGAAAGGTTTTGTCAATGGGTTTATGTTAATAGGCATAATATGCACATACTGTATGTTAAATCATTTGTTCCAATAAATAGTGTTCTAGCAATACATTTTTAGATAAAAAATTACAGTTTTTATGTCAGATATAATTTTTCGCAGATAGTGGATGTTAAATGCGTTTAAATATAAAGCAAATAGTTGAAATAACTAAGATCAAATGTAAATATTTTTCAAATGCAGAATATTTAAAGATGAGGTTTCCACAAGGTATTGTGATTGTTCCTCTGTTATTTGTTATTTTTGTTAATGATTTAGCTAAATCAACTAATTGTAATATTGTGAGCTATGCAGATGACACAAATCTACTTGTCTTAAGGCTGGTTTATCAATCTCTGGTTAAGTTCCAGTTAGTCTATCTGAAAGTTAAATTCCATATCGATCGTTGTGAGAACAATGGTATCCATGGAAATTATCTACCAGATAACTAACTGCAACTTTAGCTGGAGATTGATAAACCGGCCCTTAAAAACTTAAATATTGAAACAAATACCTATATCAGATAGGTTAGTGATTGGTTCAATAAAAGCCGCCTTATTTTAAAAACAAAGTGTATATTATTTAAAACAAAAATAAAAGTATTATAACTCCTGAGAATACTACATTTTCGGGCTTGAATATTGATGAAAACCTAGACTGGTGCTTAAGAGATATATTGATCTAAATGTAGTAAAAACTGTGAATTTTGCGTATTTTCAGTTCATGCTAAAGTTTGGAATAATTTTTTGGGGACAATGCAGAGATGTCCAAGCCAGTTTTGTGGCCCAGAAAAGTTATTTAAGAACTGTGATGGGTTTGAGGTATTGGGAATCATTAAGAGGGCAGTTATAGAAACACCGAATGCTTACAGTGACAGCGTTGTATGTGTTTGAAATGTTTGTTTGTTTGTAAAAATGTGCAACTGTTTGTAAATTTAAGATTAAACTGGGAACGCACTCTTGATTTCAAATATTTTAGATATTGTCCAAATTTTTATGAAAAAGGCTGTTCCTAGGCGTGTATTGCTATATAATAAGTTACCTATTTCTATCCAATCTGTGTCCAAATTGACTAATTCTAAGAATTATATATTGGAATATTTAATTGAACCCTATACTTTGGCAGATTTTTTCCTAGTGGTTATTATACAATTATTATTTTGTTTAAAGGAATATTATTATTAGAATTAATACGAACGTTCTTGGCCTTTAAACCCCAACCTCCATAAAGTAGGAAATTGTTATCAGTGTTTTGTTTAACGGTCATTTAACGTGAAGTCGTTTTTTATTTTTATTAGGTATTTCCTTTTTCTTTTTGTAATCAGCATAAATTTTTCCAAAAATTTTAGTTTTTCCATTTAATTTTTATTGTAAATACTGTGCTCTGCCCAGCTGTTCTTATAGAATTTTATAATAGTTTAAACTCCCCATTAAAAATATACCTATTTGTCATTAAATTTTAAAATTTCTTTAAACGTAAAACATGTTTGTCAACAAAATAAGTCACACAAACAATTAATTTTGTATTTTTTTATATACATTTTAATTTCGAAATTTTTGCTCATGTGTTCCCGGACACAGGTACTCATAAGAATAGTGTCAAATTTTAAACATAAACCATTTATATATTTCTTAACCGATGCATCGGTTAAGAAATATATAAATGGTTTATGTTTAAAAGTGTACCTAAATAAAATGGAAAAGTTCCATAATAATGACACCTATCAATTTTTTTAACAGACTGAGTGTACTTTAGTAAGGTGCTTTTGAATCACACTGCATGTTTATAGACAAGCTTGTCTAGTAAAAAAATTGTCAGACTTTATAGTGTACAATTAAGTGCAAAAAATACGAAGAAAAAGTTTGATTGAAAAGGAACATTTTAAAATGTTGAAGTGCTTACATAATAGATTTTATTACAATAAAGTAGTTAGAATATAAAAATGTAACTATTAATTGCAAATAAAATAACATATTTTTTTATTAATTCAAGATTAAAAATTACTTTTAAAAATTTAATAAAAAACTATAAAAACATGTTTTTTCATTGCAAAATATTTAAATTAAATTGATAAGTATTAAATAAAATGTTAAAAAATCTATTATTTAATTTTAAAAATTCATATTATTTTAAAAATTGCAAGATTTTCTTATATTTTTGTAAAAAAAAACAACTTCTTAGATAGAACTTTTATTGTAAATAACATTTATTATAAATAAATAAAACTATTGTAAAAACTTAAAAATTTACTAGCCATAGTTTGAAGAAATATTTTATAAAATATTGTTTTAAAGTTATAAAGGAAGGATCAATCTACTAAACTTAACCTAACTTATTATATTTAGCTATAACATACTTCCAAACATTCTAAACTAGATATATTTAAGAAAAAAAGTGTTCCCAAATTAACTGACTATTTTGTTTTAGTATTATTAAGTTATAAAGTTGCCTGTAATATAGGCCCTGTATCAGTTAGAGATCAATTACAAAATTTTAATAATGTTCATCCACAAAAAAAAAGAAAAAATTAATCCGAATTACAAAATTAAAAGAGTCACTTTATTTTGGAACACCCTGTAAAATCATGTTAGGAATTAAATTATAAATAATATATATATTATATATATATACTATATATATGCAACTACATCTGAAATTCTGTGTATACAGGGTAATGAAAAACAAAATACACTAAAAATTACGAAGTAAGTAACATATCAAGAAAACAAAGTAGAGATCCATATCCCATATACAGGGTGTTATAAATTTAGGTTACAACTCTAAAGTGTTTTGACCTAAATTGCAAAACCCTTAGTATAAGTATAATACAGGGTGTTCAAAAAAAACATATTTAACGCCTTACCTATATTATAGTTATTATAATAATGAAAAAGGTTAAATTATATTTAGACAAAAATTATAATAATAAATAGTTTGATGTGTAGGCATTGTTTGAACACCTTGTATACTAAAACTTATAGTTGCATATGTCATTTGACCAAAATATCTTTAATCAAAAAATTTAAACACGAGTTTAACATAAACAGGATCATGCTAAGATAAAAACGAAATTGTATTAATTTATCTATTTCTCAAGTACATAGTAAAATTGTATTATAGCAATAAGAGCTTGTGTAGCACATATATTTTGTAAGATAGAATTGTGCACAACTTTTACACATCGTTTGTTTTAAAGTATAAATGTTTTGTTATTTTTGATCAGCAACTGTTGCATTCAAATGTCTTGTTATATTTTTAAAAGACTTTTTAATTGTTCTACATATCTTGTTACTTTTGTTTTGTACATAGTAAATTATTTCGAACTTTTGGACCAAATATTATAATATACTCTTTGTATAAGTATTGTGATACACAGATTTTTTAATATTTCCATTTAAGTCGCATGGTTTTAAACCCGAAAAATTACTAGCCCTAAAATAAAAATAAAGTTTTTTATGACAATTTTAAAATAGTTTTTGAAATACTGAACAGTTCTAAGACGGTTCAAAATATAAAATTTATTGAACATATTGACATTTTTTTTTAGGACATTTTTTATATAAATACTATAGAAAACTCAATAAAATTGTTCCGTCATTTTCAAGTTGCAAGATCCAAAGATAATGATAATTATTAGGGATGGGATTTTAGTTATTTTACCTTTTTTTAACCGATGTAACTATTTGAAAACCAATAATGCCAAAATGTGTTTTAAAAGATTTTCTTTTATATGAACCTAACTTGTTTTCACCTTTTTTACCTTTTTTGGAGGTTTTTGCTTTTAACCACCTTTTTTATACTTTTGTTACCTATTTTTTTTAACTTTTTTTCACCTTTTTTACCTTTTTTGGAGGTTTTTGCTTTAAACTACCTTTTTATACTTTTGTTGCATATTTTTTAATTTGTCAGTTTATTTTCATATATTTGTTACCTATTTTTACGTAGGTATTTTTACTTATTTTATTTTTTTTGTTCTTTTTAAAATTTGCGCCAATATTTTATCCAGGGCGTGCAACTCAACGGTATAGAATTTTTTCTTATGGTTACAGACTGTAACAGTAACTTTCTTTACAGTTACCTTCTTTGTAGTGACCTACTACTAGTGAGCTTATGTTCTGTCATAAAACTTCTGTGTCACTCAGTAAAACACAGTTTATTGCATAGAAATAGTTTATTGTGGGTATGTTCTGTGTTTGGGTAAGCGGCTAAACAAAATTATAAACGAAACTTAAACTTTTAATGTTTTTTTTACCTAAAATGCTGTTTTTTTAACCTAAAATGCTTTTTTTTAGTACCTTTTTAGTTACCTATTTTTCAGTTTTTAGTACCTAAATATCCCATCCCTAATAATTATATTTGGTAAGACATGTATATTAGGGTGGGCCGAAAATCCGCTTTTTTAGAATTTCGTTTAGTAATAGCAAACATTTTGTTCATTATGTTGTAAAAAGATTTTGTGTAAAAGATTAAAATTTTCGATCAACATCCTAGGCTCGCCCAACGCAATTTAAGATCAAAATGTTTAAAAAAAATTTGATACTAAAATCGGGTTTATTTCTGAAACTATCCATCTGAAGTAATTTTGTGTAAGGACCTCTTTTGTAGAGCATAAAATTTCCGATCGAAATAAGTTAAGAAATTTTTTTTTTTAACATTTTGATCTTTAATTGCGTTGGGCGAGCCTAGGATGTTGATCGAAAATTTTAATCTTCTGCACAAAATTTTTTTACAACATAATGAACAAATTTCTAAAACTATCCATCTGAAGTAATTTTGTGTAAGGACCTTTTTTGTAGAGCATAAAATTTCCGAAGAAATAAGTTAAGAAAAAATTTCTTTGAACATTTTGATCTTTAATTGCGTTGGGCGAGCCTAGGATGTTGATCAAAAATTTTAATCTTTTACACAAAATCTTTTTACAACATAATGAACAAAATTTTTGCTATTACTAAACGAAATTCTAAAAAAGCGGATTTTCGGCCCACCCTAATGTATATTATATGACATACAGTAGGTATATCATATGATATATATAAGACTGGGTTTAAGAAATATGTCAAATTTTGATTTGGGCCTTAGTACGGTTTTTGCCACTGTGGAAAATAGATATATCATAACTGATGATTTTGACACAATAGAAATAGAAATAAAACAATCAAACTCATTCGAGGTATAAAAAAATATTTTATTTAAGATTTTAAAACCATGGGGCTTATTTATTGTATAAATATGTATATTTTATTTTGCCTTTGTTAAACTATAGATTATAGACGTTGTTCTATATTTTTAAATATTTTGTACTGACTTTCAAAGATATAAAATTGTTCTGTTTGAATTTTCGAGCATATTAGATAGCATAGTAATATGCATATGACGTTATCTTATTACATATAATAAATATAACCAAAAAATCCATTGCATTTGTAGATCTAAACTATTTCTCCAAAATGAGTTATAACCACACCTTTCTAAATGTAATCACAATGATCACCTTGTAAAATAAGTTCAATATTGTTGGATTCTTCCTAAAACAGTGTAATATGTAGACATTTCGATAATTACATAATACAGATTTTCATTTTGTATTTTTTTATTTCTCCTAATATTTTTTAACATTTTTGGCATCCCATAGTTTAGGTATGTCAAAATTTTGACAATTCGCAGCAACCGTGTTTGAACATATTTTCAATATTTGCGTTATTTGTGCTCAGTAAGTATCACTATGATTAATTTATTCTACCACTATGTTTGATCTACTTAAAAATCACTTTGTACATAAAATACAACTTTTTTGGCTAAATCGCTATTTAACATCAAAATCGTAATTGGTAGAACTGACTATAAACATTATGGATAAAATATCAAAGGTCAAAAGAAGTTGGCCATAATGCGCAGTTTAAAATGGGATTTCTTTAAAATAAAACAACAAATAAAATTGTACAAAACTTTATTATCATATCAATACAATATATTAATATAAACAAGAGATCATAATTTACAAAGAGCAAATCCTAAACCAAAAAATATAATTGAACACGCAAAAAATAAATAAGAAAATTTAACTCATCATAAGCATTCCATAGAAGAATGAATACGAGCGTATACAACCCAATACATCTTAACCCTAACCTTTAAATAAAAAATAATCAAAAACTTACTTTATATATTGCACAAAATATATTAAACTTAATAAACTAGCGTGTGTATATACAATAATATTGAGTCAACGTATAAAATTCTATTTTTTAAATAGACTGCGATCAATATATTCGTTGTATGGAAACCTATTTAGTATAAGGATGTTTGGTATATTTTTGAGCTACCAAACACTCTATATTGCATGTCAATAAATATGTTTGTTAGTAAAATCTAGGTACTTAATATAAACCTGAAGGCAAGTCAGTTAGTTTTCCATGACTTTTATTGCTACCGGATATGTTAATATTATAATCATGTTTTGTTAAAGATTGCTGGTGGTGTATTTGTCCTGAATACAACCCTGCGTTTGTGTGCCCTCGTTTGATAAGAAAACTGGATGAAGTGCTGGTCTTTTTCTCGTGGATTCTTGGAAAATAATACGGAACATCATGGTCCCTCTGTACTGGTAAAAACATTTTTTGTTTATCATCGGAATGGCAGCTTAATTTTGATTTTCTATTGTTGCTCGAAAATACATTGGATATGCTACGGGAAAGCGATGTTCCCGAAACATTACCAGAATCGCTTTTGGTGTGGAATCTATTAACAGTTTTCCCTAGTTTGTGATCTGTAACGACTATGTCCACCATTGAGTCTAACCCGTCGTCTATCCTGTCTAGACTTTTAGACTTAAGTCTGGCAGCTTGTAGATCAGCTACTATTTTCTGTTTTTTATGGTACATCATCACGGGGGTGTTGTAATAATACGACCCATCAAAACTGCTTTGTTGTTTAACATTAGCGTGCACAAGAGCATTGGTTTTTTCCACATGTCTAAACGATTCAGATCTCTTAATACTGTTTTTAGAACAAGTTCTGGATCTTCGTTCTTGAACTTTGGGCTTCTCTCTTGTATCCACAACTACTCTGTGGTTTTGTGTACTATCCCTCTCCAATTTTGGTAGTTGGCACCTCGACGCACTTAGCAATGAATCCGATCCTTCCTCACTAGTAAAAGCCGTCTCATTCTCAAAGAACAACTCCTTATTGTTGCAGTAATCGTAATCTTCAGCTGGGTGAAATAGATGAACTAGACTCCTTGCTTTCCTTGGGGGTTGCGGGTAGATATTTGTAGGTATAATCTCGGTCTCGTTATCCAAAGCAAAATCATCTATGTCTATACGTATACCAAGCTTACTTTTCACTTGCGCCTCTTCAATCCTTTTGCGCTCCAGTTGTTTAGTACGCTCCTCTTTTACGTATTGCTCTGTTTCGGCGTCGTTGATAATGTTCTTTAATTCTTCTATAACTTCGTCAATAGTGGTTTCCTCGTCTTCATCTGATTTGTTGTTGGTATCATTTTTGTTGGTGTACATGTTGTATACTTCCGGAGGTGGTACCAAAATGTCTTGCTCAGGTGATGGACTACGTTCTGATGATGATATGCCTTCATCGTCTGCAGTTGGGGAGATATCTGAAATTATTAAATTAGGTTCAGTTTGGTGATTTCTTAAAAAACTTTAGTTTAGTATTTACATTAGGTTGTCTACAAGCTAAAAGTTGCAATTTGGTTATAAATAAGATTGATAAAGTTTTAATTTAATGCAGCATCAAAATAAAAAACATTTATCCTAAAAACCTGATTTTGATTAAACGATATAGGATTTTTTAAACTGATCCAGATACTTGAAATGGTGTAAAAATACATGATAATTCTGCTCAATCTTGGCATCAAACCTAAACAAAAGCAAATGGATGCGAAAACTCTTCATTTTTCTAAGGAAAAAAATGTCGAAAAAAGCAAAAATTTATAGCTCTATATTTTCCATAAATTTTAATATTCAAAAGTTTATAAAATTTTTTAATTCTTGTAATATGGACTAAATAGATTTGATACTAGATTAAAAAAGCATAGATCTTACCAAGGAAAAATTTACCATTATAGAGGTTCATTTGTAAATTGTTTTTGATTTCTAAATAAAAAATAAAATTTTAAAATAAAATTTGACAACGGCGTCAATATGATTTATAAAATTCAGCTTTGTATCAATTTTTTAAATTCTATAACTTTTTACTGGTTATACATTGAATTAATTTTTCTTTTTAAATATCATAGATTTGCATTTATTAATGGTTAAATGAATAATAGTTTGGAACATTAATCAAGGAGATTGTTTAATTTTTAATAAGAAAAGGTTTTATATCATCGGCAAAATTATAAACTTATATCTGACAAATCGTTGATAAATAAAAGAAAGAGAAGTGCTCCCAGTTTGGATCCCTGTAAAACACCCAATGTTTGAATAAACGGTTTAAAACAAAAATCATTGTAAAGAACAAAATGCTTTTTATTTGCCGAGTAAGAAGTAAAAACATTTTTACATTTATTTAAAAAAAGAAGAACCATATCTTAATGATGAATCTAAATTAGGTAAGAAAATGTAATGTTTTCAAGCATTTCTATTAAAAAAATACTTTTACGTATTCGTCCCTTAATAGACTTTAAAATATTAAAATTTTTTAGTTTTATCAAAATGTACTAATAAAACTTATCTAGAATTAATAGGTATTAATTTATAATAATATTTTAGCAAGAAAAACATTTTGATTTCTTGGGACTATCGTAATGTAGTTTATTAAAACCTTTTTAATGTAATATTTACCTTTTTTGTCTGTAAAATGCAATGTTCCTTTCATCGATTTATCAGATTTTAGGGACTTTACTTCACCCTGTAGGTCGCTGCACCTTTCCTTTAAGCATTGTTCAAGAGATATAAGTATACCCTTTTCTTCTTGTAAAATCTATAAAAAATACATTAGAATTTATATTTTACATACAATAATGTAAAAATACCTGAACTTTTCTTTCCAATAGCAGCACTTTATCTCTTAATGAATCATTTTCCCTTTCAGCATCTTCCAATCTAATTGATATTGTTTCTATATCTATATGGTTTTTGTCCCAGTGATCTATTTCTTCGAAAACCATATCTGGGCATGAAGAATTATTGCCAATATTCTAAAAACAAACTATCATAAATATATTCAAAGTACAACAAAGTAATTACAACCTTTTTTATTGTTACTATATCAAATCCAGCCTGATCAAGCTCAGCCTGTATGTACAATCGTTTCTGTTGCGAGGCAGAAGTGTCCAAAAATGTGTTCAAAAACTTCATCCCTGCGGCTAGAAGTTCAGTTTGACCTCCTGCTGAAGTCAACATGCCTATCAAGAACCTAAATCTCATAGGTTCCCCGAATCTTAACCTCAAAGTCGACATCGCTTCCGATACAGCTGTATGACCGTTGCTTGACATTTCACAAGCTTTTGTAAGTAGCTAAAAAAAGATTATAGGTATTGAACATTATTGGAATACATAAACCTTATTATACACTTAATTCAATTAACATTAATACTTTTCCTGCCTTTAATTTTCTTAATTTGCTCAATTAAAACCTACCTGCAGTGCTATAATTCTGCTCTTGTTTACATTACTCATTATACAAATTGCGAGCGTGAAAAGACTCGCAGAGGAGGCCGTCAACTTTCTTACTGCTTCAGAGTACCGTGTGCAACAACTAAGCAGGCATTGCAGGCACGAAAGTTCATCCAAGAGGGCCCTTCTTTGAACGGACGGCGGAACTTTGCCAGTCGTGTTACTGGATCCTGTGGTTTGGTGGCCATTGTTTGATTGGCTAAGTTGAATTGCCCTGAGAAGGTCCAGAAGAAGGGTGACGCCATCTAGGTGGTCACCAACGAACTCTTGGACAAAACTGAAAATAAAAATTAAATAAATAAAGTGCACAGGTGTGTAATATAAATTATAACAAAGTCAAACAATGATAGTAAGGGTATTTAGGAAATTATCTGTAGCTTTGGTTGCTATGACAATTGTTAAATTATGATTTAGGGCTTTGTTTCTGAAAAATTTAAATATAAACCTTTGGGAATACAATTCAAAATAATGCGACAATTTTTAAAATTTAAGTAGTCTTAATCTTGTACTACAAACTGTCACAAAATACATTTGGTCAAACAAGTTCAAATAGCAACCCTTCTTAGATTTTTTTGACGGCTGCATCTCGGTTAAGAAACATTATTTTTGATGCTCTGTCACCTCTTAAAATTAATTACATTAAACTGAAACACCTTGTAAAAACAGGGCGTTAGGTAATAAATGGTAAACAAAAATCAAGGGTATGGTAGGCCGCCCACCGTGGGCCACACTAAGACGAGCAGTTTAGGTCTTGGGGTTATGTGCCTAAAACGCCCCCTTTCCGAGTAGTAGTAGAATTGAGGTTAGGTATCTGTCACTTTTAGTAGAATTCAGGTTAGGTATACATCACTTTCAGTAAAATTGGGGTTATGCATCTTTTAATTTTAGTAAAATTGAGGTTATGTACCTTCCACTCACCTAATTGCACACTGGTTTAAATATTCTTTTCGTATTCCATAATATTCCACACAAGGCAACTATTTTCTGTTATAATCTTCGAAAGTAATATTAGGGTTTTCTAAGATGACCCCATGAATAGAAATCGAAACTAGGGAGTTTGGTAAGATAAATTGCATTTAAATGATCGCAAACAATTAAACTGAAATGGGCAGGGACCTAAATGCAATTGAAACAGTTTTAAGTAACAAAGGTACACGGGGAAAAACTAACCATTGATGCGCGGAATAGTAATCCAGTATATGAACTATTTGGAGTTATATTTAATTATGTACAATATTGTTTACTATAGTTCCTAAGAATACTCATTAGTTTGACAAAACTTTTGTCACAAAAGGAACTATTGCTGTAATTCATAAGGACTGTAATAGGTGCTTGTATAATTCAAACTTGTGTGTTTATAGTGACTGTACCACTATTCTCCTTACTTTAATATTGGAGGAAAAGCAGGTATAACTGTTTGTCAAGGCGTCTTAGAAGAAAAAATGGGTCCATATGATCATTACCAATAATTTCTGCACCGAAAATTGGTCCTAAAAATGGATTGTGGGTTTTCATCTGCCCTCACATGATTATTGTGGAGATTCTGAATAGCAGTTCTAGAAAAAATTGCTATATTTATGAACAAACATTTTGACTCAAAAAACAGATTTATCATTTTTTAGCATCTAGATGGTTTTTAGTACAACTGATAAATGTTTCCACGCTATGAAAAATCGCAAAATAATTTGATGACTAATATCCAGTTCTAGCGATATTCCTTACTATAATACTGGTATGTCGATTTCCTACAGCACCGCTTCTTTAATTTCAGGTTTTGCAACTAAAATATGTACTATTATATTCTATTACCACCCACCAAAACTTAAAATAATATCTTGTTATTTATAAAATAAAACTTTTAAAATTATTTTTTTTTTAACCCAGTAGCAAAAAAATTAAGTCGATGATGTTTTTTGAACACGCTGAAATATTATCACGTCAATGACGTAACGTCATTATACAACAAATAATATTAGTTGTCTAGATGTAGTATTCAAAATCAATACCTTTCAAAGTTATTCAAAGTTTTTGACATTTTAGTGAAAGACCACCAAATTTAATAATTTTATTTTTGTCTTGCCCTCAAACCTCAAAATGGACTGTGCCTCTTGCGGACCCGTCCCCACCTCAGCCCCCATGGAGACAAGCCCTTGTCCGATGCCATGTACTGTGCCGGTAATAGCTGACAGTTTACCGAAGTACAGGGTGAACCCGTGCGATCCAAATGTAAGAAATAGGGACCCTTGTCAACCACCCTGCGAGAATGTCTGTGTACCAGTGGTGGTCCCTGGGATGCCCCCAGTCCCTGAAAAGCCCCGAAAAAAATGCAAGTACATCCAGCCCGCAAAACCGAAGTCCTATGCTCCCATGAGGAAATTTATTCCACCAGAAATGAAGATGGAGGATAACACCATCTACAGAAAATCATATCTGCCTGTGGAGGCCGATAGACCCTCCATGGTAATACCAACGGGTAATCTATGTGTAGGTGATGGTAAAATATCGCAGGATACCATTAATAAGATGTCTTATTTACCACACAAAGTCCAACCACCTTGTCCTTTCTATCCTTGTGAACACAAGTTAATCGGTGAAGGTCCAATGCAAGATATTACCACAGTTAAACATGACTACGTCCCTAAACCATTTTGTAAATCAGGTCTTATCATCCCAGATGGTAATTTGTTTACATCAGACTGCCCACTAAGTGATAAAACAGTCAATCGCCTATCATACATGCCGGTTAGAAGCGAACGTTTAAAACCCGTCGTACCAATGGACGCTATCGAAAAACCAACAGGAAAAATATCAGACAGGACCATCCACAAGATGTCGTTCCTACCCTGGGAACCAGGCGCGAAGGAAGATATGCCATGGGCGGAAAAACCCAAGTATGTACCACCGAAGCTTCGCATGGAGGATAACACCGTACAAAAAATGAGTTACATGGCACCAGGGACTTATATTGAATGCGATGCCAATGATCCTGACTGTGTTGACTGTCCTTTCGATGCCCCGAGATGTGCAGGACCGCAATGTTGCCAACCCTGTTGTTGCCCGAGAGCAGCCTGTTAGTTCAAAAATTTAACAAAATTTACGTAGAGATTTATCATAATAGCTTTACAAAAGTAATTTACATTATGTATACAATCAGATTATATACCTTATTTATTACAAATTTTTATTTACCTTGGGTATGCCAGACGCAGATCCGACTTTAACTTAGCCAAGAGTTCCGTTACAGTCCCAAATTGTCTTAAAGTCATTTCAGAACCTAATGAAGTCAACATTGGGTTCCTGTAGTCTCTGAATGAGTTACTTTGCGAACTACGGCACTCTAGATCCGAAGTGCTTGCGTTTGTATAGAGAGTAACCATGGCGCCATTTGCATTTTTTCTACCCCATTTTTTTAGGGATATTGCGTAGTCTTCTGGGTTGTAAATTGGAGGCCTTTGTTTTTCCTGAAAAAAAGTAAAATATGTTTAAATAAGACTTTAATAATTCTTTAACTAATAATGCTGCCATGAAGTTGTTAGGAACAATTTTATATTATTATACGAAAGATACGGCAAAAGACTTAAATCATCCGTATAATACTATACTTTATCTACTCCAATAAGTAGATAATTAAATGATTTTTTAAAACAAACTAATAAACTCTTGACATCTGTCAAATGGTTAACCTTACTTTTAACCAATTTTAAATATTGTTATAGTTGCCTTCTTCCAATTTAAAACCCTATTGGTTCAAATCACAGTGAATATTGAAATCGACCAATGAAATGAATGAAATGATGCTCAACAACGTTGTTGGGAAAGGAATTTACAATGTTTATCATTATTCACGAAATAAAAAACAATATTATGCAATAGGAGTAGATAAAGAATAAAATGTACTATAAAATTAATAATTCTAAACGGTCTACAAAAAGCTACCACATATTCCTTAGACAAAAATAATTTAATACTTTTTCAATTTTTATGGTTAACTCAAAAAAACCGTATTTTTTTTAAGTTGCGAAAACTTTAGTTTAATATGAATAAAAGTTCAATAATTTTGCAATAAACTAAAGTGAAATTTAAAAAATAGTATAATTACAGTTTTTATCGCGATTAAAATGTACCCAAATACCGGAAGGACAAATAACGTATAATTACCAAGAAAAAGTAGTTATCATAGTTAAAACTAAACAATTTTGTAAAATTACGTAAAACCTAACAAAAACCCTAATTTTAAGGCGCACACAATACTGCTCCGTGGTCATTAATTTTTTCTAAATAGTCACGCGTTATTTTTCCTAGAATTATTAACATTACAAGTTAATTAAAAAAACTAACTCAACAAAGCAAAATTAATTAACGAAGACATCTGCAATGTTTTATAATTAGCACTGTCGCCTTTAACATACTCGAGAATAAAAAATAATTGAGCATGAACTAAATTAATAATAAATTTTCACTACATTTGTAACTGTGCAGCAAAAGGATTGCTTATAAATGCATTCAATTCAAGCTTTAAAACAATCAATTAAAAAACTTTTATAAGATTTATAATTTAAATTTTAAATCTCTAAAATTAATGAAATAATAATTTATAATCGATCATATTTGTATAAATGCAGGATGAACTTTTGTTGAATTTACTTTAAATTTACATACGAGGTGTGTTCAGAAAATAACGGGAATTGTTAAATTTCGCGGGTTCGGAGGGTCCGGTTGTCATAAAATTTTCTTTATTATGTTGGTATACATGCCCCCGAAGTATGATAAAAACTTTAGCTGTTTTCATTGTTTACTTTGTCTGTGGCAGCCGCTAAGGTTAGACGTGTTTTATGAGCTCGGCGATTTTCGTTCGTTAAAAGAAATGGATCAAAGAATTTGTATTCAATTTTGCTTAAAAAATGAAATAAATTCTGTGAAATGTTAACATAGGCCTATAGTCAGTCTGCTATAAGTAAAACAAGAGTTTAGAAGTGGTATAAGAGTTTCCAAGATGGCCGTGAAGACGTTGAAGATGACGAACGCCCCGAACGAACAAGCACCTTAACAACCGATAAAAAGATGGAAAAAGTGGAAGAAAAGGTTATAAACCATCAGAGAAGTCCCTAATGATGTTGGTATATCGATTGGCTCATCCCATGAAATTTTTTTGAATGTTTGGGTAAGAAACGCGTGGCAGAAAAATTTGTTCTAAAATTGTTAAATTTTGAACAAAATTTTTGGCCAAAAACAATACTGTAATGATGCCCCAGCCTCCATATTCGCCAGACATGCCTCTGTCTGACTTTTTCCTATTCCCAAAAATAAAGAGAACCTTAAAGGGCCGTCGTTTTGCAAGCATAGATGACATTAAAGGCGCATCGCTGAAAGAACTAAAGGCTATCCCAAAGATCGAGTTTTAGAAGTGTTTCGAGTATTGGAAGAAGAGCTGGCACATGTGCATAATATCCAATGGGGACTATTTTGAAGGCGACAACATTAATGTTGACGAATAAATAAATATTTGTTTCATAAAACGAAAATTCCCGATATTTTCTGAACACACCTCGTACGCTACAAGTTTTACGTGTTTAAATTCATATTTTATATCTTTTATTTTTTTTGACACCATTAAACTGCCGACACTTAAAATGTAAAGAAATCCATAAGATTGATTGCATAATTTTTTAAAATAAAAATCCAAGAGGCATTATATTTATTTATTTATTATTATATTATTTCGATTGCAAGTGGCAAAATTCAGCATTTTGTTTAGTGGTTATATTGTAGCAATATGCAATACATTACTGAAGTTTTTTGGTTCAAATTTTGAATGTGTGATGTCTCTGTTACCAATAGGCTATTTTTTAGGTTGACGATACTGTTCTTGTTATTGCTTAGTGGGTAAAGAATTAAAATGATTTCACCCATTAACACTTATCTTTTATACCGTTTATGGACTTTTACCTTATTCAGAGCTTATAGAATAGATTTCGTTTATTTTTATTGTAGTATTTTTGTAAAAGGAGTTTAATTTTTTTGATCGTCTTTTGTTTTTCAGTATCTAAATTTCTTATAAGGAACCAAATATAATTTCCCACCATTTGTTCATCTAAAAATCTGATGGCTTCATGGACTTTATTTCTTAGTAGAATCTTTCACCATGTCGTCATTCTGTTTACTGAGATTTAATGGATTCTCAGGGATATATTTACGATGATCAAAGTAATGAAAAATACCTATATGATTAAAAATGTAATGTAAAAGAATAGAAAACATTTTTGAATAATTCTTTAGCCAATCTTCGACAATTAATTAATCCAAAGATGGAAAGATAAGTTTAACAAAACGAGAACATCTTAATTTTGTAGCTACTGTATTATCTGACGCATTACAATAAATGAAATAGTTTTATTAACCAAATATTGACTACATTGACATCACACCGTCAAAATCAAAACTTAAACAAAAAAATATCAGAAATAATTACTATATTTATTATATCAGAGAAAAAACTTTTTTCTCGAATTGAAGGTAAATGCATTGCAAAAGCAACAGTATACCCTATAAATAACGTAAAAGCGAGGGGTCACCCACACCTGGGAATCCCTGGACATTTTAGAGGGGGAATACCATAGGAATACATAGGAATGCAATAAAATAAAATGGGAATACATGGGAATCCCTGGACGTTTTCCCTTTGGGTGGTTGACCCCTCGCGTAAAAGTCCAAAAATAAACAAAAATTTATATTTTCCTACATATACATAAACGGTTATAGATCCATAGATTCTTTTGTAAATACCTTGTTTTCTTTGCAAAAATGTGTTATATTTCGATAATTTTTATTAGTTCTTGGCGAAAAGGTAAATGTTACATTTTTATAAGGGCCAATTGCAACTCAACTGATTTGCCATTAAAAATTGTGACATTGGTCGGCGATTCGATTATGTTTAGTTTGACAACTTTTGCAACCAGGTTGACCCTTTCTAACTCGATATATGTCCCAAATTGTAGAGCTGCATTCCTGATAATACAATTTTAAAAATTGTCGACTTACCAGGAAAACGAGGATTTGAATTTAATTACGTTTCTTTAACTAAATAATTTTTGAAAAAGTCACTTTTTTTTTAATCACGAAAATTTAGTCTCCATTTATTGTTAATATTAAAATATATTATCGAAACCTCGGAAAATGCAAACTCCGGAAAAGTTGTTTTTTGACTTTTGTGTGTTTTAAAACTTAATATAAGTATACTTATACTTTACATATATGTAAACTAAATTTGCATGCCATTTACCTTATTTAAAGCATCTTCTATGAGGGAAAACTGTCCTATTCGAGAAGATTCTTCTGAATTAGGAGCCATACTGCTGCCAGATTCAAAAAATTCACTGAAACAAATAAAAACTTTTAGTTTACAATCCTTGATTAATTTTGCATGTTTATTTAGAACTTGTAAAATTCCAAAAACCGCTATTTAAGTACACAATACTTGATATTTTTTGCTGTGTTTATCTTGGTTCAAAAACCTCAATTATAAATATTTAAATTTGCTTTCATTGTTTACATATTATAATTTATGAAAATTTAATTCTTTATAATATTATTGCTTAAATTTATGAATTTTTTAGTTTGCTTTCACTTTTTTAATTATGAAAATGATATTAGCAAAGTCAATAAGTTTAACTGCTAAAAACTATTTAAATGGATAATTTTTAAATCCATATAATAAATGATAATAAAATTAATTTCTATTGAATTGTGTGAAGAATGGAAACAAATTGATTTTACCATAAAAAGTATTTTTTTAACCATATTTTCATAATTTTCAATATATATATCTGAAACGGAGAGGGAATTTAAAAAGGTATACACTGAATTAGCCATTTAGCCATTTTATAAGGGATGCATTTTTCTCGAAAAATTAATAATAAAAAGTTTTTGTTCTTGTAAAATCGATCTAGAGACATACTGTAAAATAAATCTATTAAAAAATGACCTGAAAAAAAAGCTTAGTTTAAATCGATCGAAATCTTCTGATTTGGGTATATGTTCTTTGATATACCGTTATGTTTAAAATACGTCTTTAAGTTTTGATACGGTTTTAATCGAAATATCTGTAATATGTATTACGACATACTATTATAGTTTAATTTAATTTAAATTCCTAGCACATATTCATACAATTTAATAATAAAGTGTAAAGAAGGTCCCCAAATTTAATTAAAATAAGTATAGTGGCATGCATACAATAAAAGCAAAAAAGCAACAATTTTATAATCATTTATTTTTAAAGAATACGTTTAATTATATAAAGTATCAAATTATATACATTAGGTTTATTAAAAAAAAGAACTTCGAAAAACTGATTACTGGACACCTCAAAAGATCTCTTAATATTAACAGTAAGTGGCTCATCATCGCCATTTTTATGTAAAACTTATGTATTAAGCTTAATAAACGCAATTTTAGTTACGATTTTTAATTAGGCGCGTGCTCTATATCAATGAATAGAGTTACTTATTCGTAAGTTATAGTTATATTTAATTTAATTGAAAATGTCTACCTAGCGTAAAATGGCACTGCACTGCACTGCCAAACAAAATAAGTATCAATATTAAGTATAAATTTAATATTTTTTAAACAAATATTTATTATAGAAATTATACAAAATTGATACGCTAATAAAATAATTCTTTTTACAGTATACTATAGTAATAAAGTATTGTGCTCTAAATAAGAATTTAATATACCTCATTTAAAAACAATTCGCAATATAGTAATAACGTTGCATTAATTTTGTTGTTCTTAAAAGAAACCGGCAATTTGTCGTGTTGACACAATAAGCATTCAACATTAACACAGTTTTCTAACATAAAAAGAAATTTTTATACGTCGGCAACATTTAATTTCGCTAACTACTATACGTCTAAATGGTAACATATGTCCAGTGAAATTGCTTTAAAATTGTGAAAGAATTAAATCATTTTATGGCGGTCAATTTAATAATTTTTTGTACAATTTTGTAAAAGGTACACTGAGAGAAAAAAATGGTTTTTATTACCAAATCTGCATTTTTATAACCAAATGCTTTATTCAGTATTTGACTTACAAACGGCTACGTTATTAAAAACAAATGATTAGCTTCAAGACATTTGGTCATATTTACTTAATAATTTGTTTTTGGTTATTAAAACCAAACCAATTAGTCGTAATAAATAAGTTATTTATTTATAAGAATCAAATTTTTATTTAAAAAAAAATATATTTATTTATAAAAAACAAATGATCTTTTTTTGTTAACAAATCGTTTTGTTTTATAAAATAAGTAATATACAGGGTATTTTAGACTTGTGGTGCCAAAAGCTCAGGGGAGATTCCTCTCAAGTATGAAAAAAAGTTTTTATGAACATGCATGTGTCCGAAAATGATTCGTTTCCGAGATACAGGGTGTTTGTTTTTTTTTTAATTGAGTTTTTTATTTATAGCTTAAAAACACTTTTTTATACATTATTATAAGAAGCATTTTCGGACACTTGTTCATAGGAACTTTTTTTTCATATTTTGATGAGAGGAATCTCCTTCGAGCTTTTGGCACCACAAGTCTGAAACACCCTGTATTATTAAAACAAAACATGTATTTTTATAATTTAGCGTTTTTATAAAAATTAGGGTTTTCTATATTAAATAACACTCGGCCATTGATAACAATACATTTTATTTTAATAAAAAATAAAAAACATTTTCCTTAAAAAACATGTTTGCAAACAAAAACTTTTTTTTTTTGGTAAAGTAAACTAAACATCTTAAACTTAAGTAAACTAAACATCTTAATTTAAAATTCTTAAACTTAAAAAACATAACTCTGTTAAATTATTTTCAATCAAAAATGTATCCATATTTACCTAATTTAGGTATAAACTATACAGCACGTCCGGACGCGTCCACTCCCTTTGCACAAACTAACACAATGGCCGAACTAAAGCATCTACGGCGAATAATCAACGTGTTTTATCCTGCATTTGTTTTTTATAAGCAAGCAACAACTCGATTTATTCATACAAACTCTATTTGAAAATGGTTTGTTATTATTAAACTATATTTGTTTTTTATAACCAAATACAGTGAACCAAATCATTTTTTCAAAATAAACTTAAGTAATTCTGAATATAGTTACTAAGAAGTGCTGATTTGGTATATAGAAGAATTATTTATTATATTTTACCAAATATATTAAAACAAATCATTTTTTAACTATACCCAGACTATTTCTCTCGGTGTATGTTTAAAAAGTAGCTTAATACTTTTATTATCAAATTTTATATTGTTCTGTAATTATAATTAAACCGTAATATTTTATTATTTTTTAACGTTTTATAGTTGTTTTTTAAATGTGTGATTGTTTACTTTAAAGATACGGTTTAAAATTTATAATTTTTTATGATATTTTAAATTGTGTTTTTAGATTTATAATTTATATTTTGAGATGTTTTTAAGGGGCTGTCGATAAAGTACGTCACCATTTTTTTTGGTGAGATGTAGATACATAAAAAACATCTATTTTTTGTTTTATTTAGTTTTTTTTTTAATGTTTTTTTCAAACTTTCTTTTATTTATCAAATCAATAGTTTTGGCTTTTTGGTGCCTTTTTCAAAAAGAAAACTAATAATATTTTGTAGTTAAATATAATATTTTAGCAAAACTTGTAAACGGTTGACTTCTGTTATGTAGGAAATTTAGTTTTCTGCAAAAAAGGTCATGTAAGTCGAAATAAACATTTTAAGAGATATACAAAATTTAAAAGAAATAGTTGCTTTTGGGCATTATAGTCACGGGTGAAGTTAGCTTTATTATAAATTATAAAAAGTTAGGTTAAATCCGTTTAAAATTGACAGGTGTCAAATGTTTAACAAATAAAATTGGCTTTACATTTTTTTTGTGTTCGTCGTAGATTAAGTATAGTAAGCAAATCGTTTTATAAACTTCTCTAGGCACTCGTTTTTGTTCTCGGAAGCTTCGCTCGTGCCTACTAAAACTCGAAACTAAAAGTGTAGATCTTGATAAACTGTATTTTTGGAGCAAAAAACGACATAATTGTACAAAATACAAGGCCTACTAAGTAAGTTTTTATGAGTAATTTTTTAAGAATTTATATTAGCGATTTTTTTAAACAAAATCTCACCACCCCTCAAAACGACTCTATACTAAATTTTATTGAAAAATTTTAAGTAGAAAAATGCACAATAATATCTAAAAAAATTATTCTGTCAAATTATCCATGAAAAAACATTGAAATAAATTTATAATTTATTATTTATTATTATATTTATTATAGCTTATAAACTAATAGTAACATGGTATTACTATAAGTTTAATTTTATTTCATTGTTTTTTTTCATGGATAACTTGATGGAATACATTTTTGTAGTGCATTTTTCTACTTAATTTTTTTAAATAAAATTTAAGGGTCGTTTTGAATCCAGTGCCGTGCTTAGATTTTGTTTAAAAAAATCGCTAATGTATTATCATATATGAATTTTCAAAAATTTACTCTTAAAAACTGACATAGTAGGCCTTGAATTTTGTACAAATATGGCGTTTTTTCTCAAAAAATACAGTTTATCAAGATCTACACTTAAAAACAAATCCGATTAAAATCGTACAATAAATAGAGATTTTACAGGGGTAAATCGCAAACAAATGGGTCACACTGCATATAACATCGCACTATAGAGTTTTCAATTTTAGAATTTACGCAGGTTTTTTATTTTAAACACGTTATTAGTAGATTATTTTACACTGTTTCACTTAAAAACCTCTGCAATTTAAATCATACTTATATTTGCCTTATTGCAAACCATATACCTTTTTCAGCTGTAAAATTCACCAAAATGTACTTGGAACCTTTAAGTTTAATAACACGCAAAATGGATTATTTTTATTTGTTTGGTGTGACGTAAAGGTGCGATTCCACCAAGCGCGCAAAACGTTTGTGAATGTTTGCAAATATTTGCAAACTTAATATTTGTTTGGTGGATACGTTTAATCAAGCGCATTCGCAAACGTTTGTTCGCATTCGGCTGTGTTCCGAGCGGTACCGGTACATGAAAGGGATTTGTGGAGACGGCGCCATTACTACCTATTTTCTGGATCGATGACAAATGTTTGCAAATGCACAGTTGTTTGCAAATATTTGGGTGGTGGAGACGAATGAATTGCAAACATTTACAAACATTTTCAAACGTTGCAAACGTTTGTTCGCAATAATTTTTTGGTGAAATCGCACCTTAACGCGCGTATGACGAACTTTTTGGACAGCCCCTAAAGGTTTAAATAAAATATTTAAAAATTATGTTTTGAATATCTGGCCATTATAACAGGAGGTAAAAAA